TGCACAAACGCGTTTGTTGAGGATGCTGAATACTTTTACTGTTGGATTCGGTATAAATATTCTAACCTGCAGTTTTCTAGGTTTGGGGGGGGTTGGTTTGGGTTTTTTTTTTTTTTTTTGGGAAAAGTTAAAAAACTCAATGTTTATTTTTTGTTGTGGTGGTGGGTTTTGTTTGTTTGTTTGTTACACTCAGCGTACTTTTACCAGGCAACTATGTTTCTGCATCCAATACTTCGGAGGACTCTCATCATTTCATGGTAAGATAAATACCAAAATAGACTTGTGTCGTGGTTTGGCCTCAGCCAGCAACAAAGAGCCACAGAGCCACTCCCTCCGCTCCCACAGCCGTGGGAAAAATCGGCAGAAAAAGGCGAAACTCGTGGGTTGAAATAGTGCTATTTAACAGAACAGCAAAAGGGAAGAGGAAAGAAGAACAATAACACCGACAAAGGGATATAAAGACGCGATTACAGTACCGCCGCGCAGCGCACCGTCACACCCCGCAGCGCCGCAGCCCACCCCCGAGTGGCGACTCCTCTCCTCGCCCCGGCAGCGCCTCTTATAGCCCGGGCAGGGGTCACGTGGTATGGAATACCTGCCCCCTGCCGGCTCCTGGGGAGATTAACCCCATCCCTGCCGCAACCAGGACACACGAAAAGCAAACAACTCAGACCTCGAAGAGCCGGTTTTTCCCCCGTTAAGGCTTCTCAATTCTTCACCAGGGCTTCCTGACGTTTGATACAATAAGCAGAAGCATCTGTCTGCCCCACAAGTATGGCAATGAGGTCCAATACACCGCTTGTAAAGAAATGCTGTTTTCACCACAGTAAACAGCGACAGAAATTCCTTCAGATGAGCTTCTCTTTCTTCCCCTGAGAGCAGAAGCCTAGCAAAACTAGCCAACAACATTAGATACTTGGGTTGTATAAACAGTCCCTTAGATTCAATTTCTTTCAGCTCATGCTCAGGAAAATCCAGCTTGAGGTGTGTAAGCAGATACCAATTAGCTTTTAATAAGATTGTTTAAAGTCCGTGTAGCCTACGCTCTACTTTTTAGTATGCAAAAATCAAACAGTTTATATTCACTTTTGAGTAAAATCAACTTTATCACACCATAGAGCAAAGCGATAGCTAGTCTCCTCTTTTTCCTCTCCTTGTTCTACATGTGCTTAACAAAACACCAAGTCTTACAAATCCCCAAAAGACTGATGCCTCCAACTTAAAATAATTTCACCGAAACTGGACTTGAAGATGTAGCAGAGTGTGTGATGTGGGAGCAGAAACATAATTCAAGTAGTCTGTTTTCCCAATCAAAACAAATAGCTGTTATTGTAATTTCGCATGTGCACACAACCTCCCAATCTAAATCGCATCTTTGTGAATGTTGCTTAATAATGTGAAATAGCAAGTATTTGCCTCAGCTTCTTTAAATAACCTAACTAACAAACGCGGTCCGTCCTGATGTGTCACTATGATAAAAAGTAGCAAGTGAACACATCAGTGATGGTCACTTTTACAGTCGACAGCTCTGATTAAAAAAAAAAATGAAAGTAGTCATTTGTCCTGAATGTGCAGAACGTATAGACAGATTGTGGACTCAGGGCTGTTTGCACTGTAGCCTAACTTAATCTGCAGATGGCCAGTGTTTTAGTAGGCTAACCTTTTGTTATTATTATTACTATTTTAAATAGTTTACGTAATAAAAGTATGACCATTTGTAGCAGTGGAATAAGATATTTCACTTTTATATCACTGATCTACACAGACTGGAAAACAATGTTTTCAGCTATTTCCAGATTCAGATCTAACACTTGGTCCCAGGCAGCAGAGCAGTCTTACTTACTTTAAAGTGCTCAGTTAAAACTTCTTTCCAGTACCTTTTTTTCCTCAAAACTGACTGGATCAGCTTTTGGTTTGCATCAAGTGAATCACTTCTCCCTTTGTTCCACTGTGGCGGCATATCTGCAGCTCTATTACTTTTTCAGATCCTGTATCAAAAGGAGTGTATGAAATACAGCTCTTCACCAGTCTCCTTACCGACGATCAAATTTCAGTTGTATAACAAACAGTGACTCTGCATGACATAATGGGGCCTTCATGCACGACACAGCTAAACTGAAACTGAAAAAAAATAAGATACATCATTATCTGCCCTTGTCTGGACATAGAAGAAATCTGTCTCAGAAAATAAGGAAACTGTATAAATAATCCAAAAATCAATGGGAAAAAGAAAAGCTTTCAAAAGACTTAGAAGTCAAAACAGTACCTTTTTAACCTTTAAGATGATTTCTAGTTAGCATACGGAAAATTTACAGTAATAGCTGCTGTCCTGTGCAAAAAGTTAGGCCACATGAGGGGATCACAACAGTCGCTTTCGGCTAGGACATCAATGAAATATTAACAATATCCAAATTTGGGTTTATGCAGCATTTAAGGGCTTTCGAAGCAGAAAAAGATAACTGCTTTCAGCCTGGAAGGTTTTATTAAAAGGTCCCCAGCTTCAAAAGCAATGGTTATTTTAACTCCTCAATTTATACCAGCAACCATAGAAAATGTATATATGTAGTACTTAAGTTTCAGAACATAAAAGAATTTGCTGTTTATACCACGTTCAAATTTTTAGGTACTCAGAAACTCCTTAAGCTACTAGAGTATCCCACAAGCCTGTATGAACTGACAAATAATTTTGATAAACACATAAACAATATATAGCATGCTAGCAATTTTAAGATCACCTGGGAGATTAAAATTATATGTGCTCTTAGGTCTAACATCCCTTTAGTCCATCAGTCACTTGCTTCCTAAAAACAATTAGTAAAAATGTAAGGGTTTTTTTGTTCCTGCTGGTTCTATGTGAAGAAAAACTATGCAGCCCAACATTAATCTTTTCTTCATTTATAATAGCTGTCTCGCTAGCCTCGCTTCAGCCATTTAGCAATCCTGTTACGAAACAGCTGCTATTAGTGAAAAAAGTCCAAACTGGCAGCATTCGCAGACCACTGGGAACACAGAGCATTTTAAGGAGATGTTTCTACAACTCATTTCACTTAGTTTTTTCAAGACCCTACCTTAAAGCCTCCAATTAGGATTATGCTTCTAAAGCTTTATTATCAGAAAGCCTGGCTTTTCTCTGGATTTTCCCATGGAGAACTTCCTGTTCCTCTAGACCAATCCACCCTTCTTAAAACATTTTTTTCCAGTCTTTTATTGCTGCTGAATCTGATTCAAAAGGGGCCCATCTGCTCCAGCTACATCATCAGGAGAGTTCTGCACTTTCACACAGCTGCTGAGGTTTCTGTCCCCATGCAGAAGCTGGAGTTGCTCCACCCACCCCATTTGCACAGAAATTATGTAAACTGATGGATCCGAAAAACTTTTTCATGACCATTTCTATACTGACAATTTCTATAATGTAAATTTTGTTTTTCTCACATTTTGCAGGATGTTAATTTGTTCCCTTAATAAAATGCACCATAAAACCTAGGAGAGCAATTTTCCAATGGAAAGAAAAAAAAAAATCCTATCAAATACACTAATCTTACTATAAATTCCATGAAGCAGTTCAAAAAGCCCGGAGGGGTGACTGTTCCTATTACATTCCATCAACTGCTGGAGCAGTTTCTTCCGGACTTTTAACATTTCCTTAGAATTTAAGTGACTTAAACTGCATTAAATTCTGTAAAGACTGAAAAGGAACTACCTGCAAGTATGCTTTAAAAGATCACATATAACATAAACCAAATTGCAAATACATTTAACAGTATGCGTGCCATTCATTGTTAACTTGCAACATACTCTGAAACGGATTCTCTCTGACAACCGAAACGCACACGCTTGACCTGAATGCAAGTAGACTGTATATTCCAAAATACCTGCATCCACCTGACTCCTGCTACTCACTCACCGCTATTTTCAGGGCATAGAAACTTACAAAACTGTGTTTGCATCTCTGCTTTGCCAGAGAGTCTTGTCCAGGTAAAGTTTAAAAATAAACTTAGTTTTGAGCCATAGAAACTCTTGCAGGAAGTTTTCCTTATGAGCCTTTCTTTTTTATAAATGAGCTTCAGAAAAATAAGATCAATTTGAATTGAGTAAAAGAACACACATTGTTCTGGATTTTTTTTAGTTAAGATACAATGGACCTATAAGATTAAGTTTAAACGGCACAACTTTCTACCTGTACGTGAACACTAGCCATGGGAATCAGCTGGACTTGCTAACACTTCCTCAATTCAGTTTCTGGGCAGAAGCTGGCAACGTGTTTACTGCGGAAGTTATTGCACTATGGAATGTGTTTTTCTACCCATTCACAGTTGATTTGGGGGACAAGTTGTGTCTCATCTCTTCCCGCGGCATTAAGGAGAAGTCTTTTCTTTGCACACAGTACTTCTTTTACAGTATCTGTGAAGGGCAAAAGTGAAAAATTTCTTTTTATTGATAACAAATACGACATTTTCACAGTCACAAAAATTAATTACAACTGAATAGTAGTCATCAGTTTCCTTACCAAATGTAATTCATGCATCTTAGCTCATTTGACCTTGGAAAACCTCAAAAATTAATCATTTAGTAATCAAGAAACAAAATAAATTATATTATTAACATTAACAGAACAAAAATAAAGCTTAAGTAAGTATATCTCAAATTCATATTTTACCTATAATAATTCACACAAACGAATATAAACAAAATTAATGAAAAACTTGAAATCAAGTGTGTGTAATTTGTTCAGTTGAGAATTAGGCTCACTAAATGATGATATACTGAGCACTGTGATGGCACTGATGTGAAAGCATGTTCTATTATCTCGCAAATTAAACAATAATAAGTCTTCATCAAGTTCAGGGTGTAAAAATAATTTATTAGCTTTTGCTCATAAAAAAATGGCTACTATACTTGATATTTTTTAAACAGCAGCAGTCAAAAAGGTGACAATTGAAAAGCATTCAATAAAAAAATAAGGCAAGCAGAGCGTAAGTTTGTTCTTTAAAAAAAATCAATGCTGTATCACTATAGAAGCAAGGGTAGCAGAAAAAAGTCAACAGAACTCAGTAAAACATGACAATCACTAAGTTACTTTTATGCTATCTCATCACTTTAGCTAAGGAAGCATTGTTAAAACAGTTTGCAAGTTTATTTCAAAACTATCAAGAGTTAATCAAGATTTAAAGGCATTCTTTAGGGGGCGGGGGGTGAAGTATGCCATAGAGATGGTAATTTTGTATTCTATTGTTTTAAGTTTGTAAAACATCAGAGAATACTGAACCCAAAAGCTTACAAGGCAACAAGCCTTGAGTCTACTGTTTTTGATCAGTGATCCGCTGTAAGCAGAGTTTCATGTAGGAATTTTTATTGCGTATTTCTATCACTGCATCTCTGACAAGCTCAATGAACATTTGAGGCCACAGCTTCTGCAACGACTCATTTTTCATATTGATGTCAGCTGCTTCTTTCACCAAGTTCTCGACGTATGTCTGGCAAAATGTTTTTCTTTCCTTGATTTCCTGCATGGGAGAACCATTACACATTGTATAAGACAAAGGAAGAAAAGGTTAAACAAGAGCAAACCCGAAAAGCCACCACAAAAATTTAATGAATTAAAGAACGTAGTGATTAGCAGGCAAAGAGGCCACTGTACACCTTTTTGTGTTGGTTTTAAGTTGCACAGCCCAGGGTCTAAGTCAAGCTTTTATGAGTGTGGCCACTGAATCTTACTGTATTCATAATATTTAGATTATATTCATTAATCAATTTATCTGAAATCCACTTTTAAGTAGTCATGTAAGTATATTTTAATGGCATTACGACTTTTTTTTTTTTTTTTTTTGCCTTCTGGCATAGCAGTGAAAATTTACAGAAATTACTAAGCACCAGACTACTTTCCTTTCTTCTCTCCTTTCCCTTCCCTGTTTTTCATGCTTATAGTGCAGTTGGAAAGTATACGTCTATCTACCTGCCCTAACAAGAACTAAGCATATTGTCACAGAAAAATATGCCAGTATGCATCCTTTCCACAGGTTTCCTGATGGACTCTGGCAAGTGCGTGGTTCCTAACACATACTACATTAGATGCTGAAGTAACCTGAACCAATAATAATAATAATACTGCACTTCACGCAACTACTATCTCCACATTTTAGTCACTCAAACTGTATTAATCCCTGTTTCTGCAGATTTTCTGTAAATACCATAATAAGCTTTGAACAGTAAGTTTTATTGGTGCTAAGTATCTAACTAGTTTGATTTATTGCACTCTTAAAAATGTTAGGTCATACTTCAGGCCATCAAAACGGAAGTTTTCTTAAATGAGTAATAAAGCAGAGAAAATACTTTCCAGTTGTTTCATCTAAAAAACAAAATTATTAATCAATTACTTAGACTGTCATCTTTAGCAATAAACTTATTCAATCACATTTATTATGTTAGTTTGCTGCTGATGGGAAACTGGAATCAGTCTTTTTTGCCTGTCCTACTCTTCTCTTGCAACATCCTGCAATAACTGCTGTCACATCCATAACGCTGTAACAAAGGACAAGGTGTGAATTGCTGCACTGGGAAAAGAAAACAATGCATATATTTAATGGACTGTACCAATACCAAGCTTATTATAGTGCTTGTTCCATGGTAAAGGACAAGAGGAATGCCTCACTGTCTTACTCTATGCCATTCAAAGTTTTAAGAGCTACTATCGCAGCTTTTGAAACTAAAATGTTTTCTTAATTTAATCTCTCCACACATGCAACTGTCTTTTTGTATGCTATGGATCTGAGATAACAAAACCACAACGCAGTAACTGAATTCAGTGTTTACTGAACTTGATTTAATTTCTTAAAATAGAGGATTTATATATTTCCGTATAATCAAAAAGCAAATATCGGGACCAATGTGGGAAGCAGGGTGCATACAGCTAGAACTCATGATGATTGCTCAGAAAGGAGACTGTGGCTGAAAGAAGCATATCCTCCCTGGGAACAATTTCTCTCTGCCCAAGCAAAAGAGTTAGCAGATCAGAAATGCAAACTAAAACAAGCGTGACTGATGCACTTGTCTGAAACAAGCCAGCTTGCAGTTTTATTAATAATTAAACCTAATACATTTCCTATATATTTAATTTCCTGTAGCTCATCTAAAAGCTAGGAAACAGCTCTTTATTACTACAGCCTGCACTATCTCAAATCTTGTCTGAAGGTGTTATTCACCAATTCATACCGGGATACACTTTCTGACTTCCTAATTCCATTAGAAAATCCTAACATGTGCAATACACATTCTTCTTTATAGAGAAAACTGTGCTCACTTCTTATCTTCTACCAATGCAGATACATTTTGTTATGACTATAAGGTTTGTAGGCGAGAATGTATTTAAGAGTGTGGCACTGTTCAAGAATCACTTCACTAAAGACAGAAGCTGACCACTATTTGGTATTCTGGCATAGATCAGTTTGATCATACACGTAAACATGGTAAGCAGTGATATTTTAAAACCACCGTTTTCAATAGCACAACTGAAACACGATAGACAGAAAAATCCTGTGAGCAGTAGTCTAAAGTTATATAATAGAGGATTAAAGTATTTTGTAATGATATTCTTACCTCAAGCTTTTCCATATGAAAGTCCTTTGTTGTGTAATTCAACGTTGCTCGAGTTCTGCTTTCCACTCCATTTCTTCTGTTGTCACTACTTTCCTCACTCCCAATCCCAGATTTCTTTCCCTTTCCCTCCAGCAGATAATGGAATTGCTTCCTCCTGTGAAAAAGATAATAAAGGGATTTACAGTTTTAATTACTAGAAACTTTTTTTAAGTGCAGATGTTTCTAGTGATTGCGAGGGTTTCTTTTCCTTTTCTCCCTTTGAACATGTACTTTATGAGCCATCAAGTTTATTGCATCCTCAAGTTACTCAAAATACATATGACTAAATATTCCTCTGTTAATTTGCTTCTATACAATTGATTTTTTGACATACATCATGTAGCATCTCCTAAATAGAAGTCCTGTAGCTTAAACTTTTATAAAGTATGTATCTATAGAAGACTAAAAAAAAGGGGTTGTTTAAGCAGCTTTTTACTTACAGCACCAACTCTTAAATCTGTTAACTGTCACCCATTAGAAAATACCCACTAAAAATAGTCAGTCTTCATTGTGAAAGTCCATAAATTTTCACCAATACCAGTATAATTGGAGAATTAAACAAGCAGTACATTTGTGTGCACGTGCCTTTTAATCCTATTCAGCAGACTTCATACAACTACTGTGAAAACCTCTGGCTACATGAATCAGGAGATGCTACTATTTCTGCAATAACCAGAGAAACTACCTTCTGTAAGATGTTTTTTGTGATTTTTTTTATCTTTTTACCTAGAAAGAATTTATCGTGATAGTGTGCAAAAGAATTAAACAACATGGTCTGGACAAATTCCAGTTCTGTTCACTGTGTTTTACCTAGATTCTCCAAATAATGAAAGCATGCGATAATGTGGCAGCTCAGAAGATGCTACATATGCCAGAATGCCAAAGAGCCTTTCTGCCATTACAATATCATTGTCAGTAACCTGTGAGGGAAGGGGGAGAAAAAAGAAAAAAGCTGAGTTTCAAAATTGGCACATTCATATTTCATTACATCTGTACATTGAGAATTAACTGAAATTTGTTATATAGAACACTACATACAGATCTGTTCCAGGCAAATCTTCAAAATGTACATTTGCTTTTACTGGCACTTTAAATGTACTTTGAAAGAAACCAAATGAGGTACTTGTGCTTGTTTTATTTCCTGTAATTCTGGAAACTAATGTATACACATGCTACATTGTGCTTCATGATAGTCTTCACGAAATGAGGAATTTTGTAACAATTTCTTACATTGAGTATCTGAAGGCCAGACATATTAATTCTGCTCCATTTTGCATGCACTTACAGACGGTCTACTGGAAAATCTCTGATCAAGTTATGCTGGAGAAATGAAAAGATTCTGGGCACCCACATATGAAAAGATAACTTACAGTCTCTCTTATTTTCACAGCGTCATAGAAAAGACTTTATAGAAAGAGAGGCTTTAGAGAAAAAAAAGAAAGGAAAAAAAAGAGTATTTTCTCTGCATTTTTTAAACCCCCAAAATAAGTGTTCCTCCATTATACTTCTCTAAATATCGTCCACACTGTTGCGTCAACATAAGTTACAGATGTCCCTAATTTTCAACGGTTGAAAAATTTTCAAGATTAATTTGACACATTTCAATTTTGCAAAACGAAGGTGGAAGGGGTTTATTTTTTGGTGGTTGTTATTGTTTTTTGTTTCTCTTGGCTCATAACCTCTGGAGCCCATGGCCTGTGTTTCTCCTGCTCCGATGGCCAGACTATGAACTGACTTCAACTGCCAAAAGCTTGTTGGCGCAGTTTCTAGACTCCTGGCTTTCTAGCGAGTGCAGAAGAAATCTTTATGATCATCTAAATCTGACCTGGATAACACAGGACAATGAAACGCACTCAGTGACTTCTTAACTTCTGGATCAAATTTAATTTCCGTTCATATTATAACATATTTTTGGAAAGCAACCCCTTATTAAATAAACTTCAAAACTCACAAACTTTAATAAGTACTTCCAGACAATTTTTGTATTCTGTATTATTCAAATGTGTGGGTAAAATGGAATTTTGATCCAAATTAATGTAATTTTATTATATTCCTGTTTAATGTTTATAGACTATGCAATTTACCCTTGCCTAAAGTATACCGCAACAGCATAATGCAGGGAGAAATTCACCAGAAAAAACCTAAGTCAGGAAATTAGAAATGTAAAGTCAATTACATTTGCACAGTGCTTAGATTTGCTTATTTTCACTTAAAATTAAAGAAGTCTTAGTAGCCTAAGAGGAGATGACCTCGCTAAACAGTCTGTTAACAGAAGCAAGGTCTAAAACAAAGAGTGCAGAAGGCAGCTAGGGAAACAAAGACCACTGCAGGCAGAAATGTCTGCTGCAGAAATAAGTGATTTTAATTTATTTATTTATGTTAAGAGAAGCATAAGGACCAGGTCAACAGAGACAGCAATGCTGAATACACTCTCTAGTTCACAGAAACTCATGTTCTCTATCTTACTCCAGTATATTGTTTGCTCCATTAATCACAAAAAGATTGTAACGGTAATATCACATAAATGTAAGCCTATTATGCCAAGTACAGAAAACAGGCACCAATTCAGTAAACGCCATGCATCTGTTATATTGTATGCCACACCACTTGGCATAAAGCGTTTTCGAGTTTAGTGACTTCAAGCCTTCACAACTCTTAATTAATCTGAGATTACTATCACTGGGGAAAACTTCAAATAGTGTAAATCAATGAAGAGAATTTGCTTCTTCACAGTTAGTAGATGTAACAGTTTGACAAGGGAACAAAATGATTGTTGGGGGAGACTAACACTCAGCTTCTAGCCTGGAACATAATTGGAACGGAAGGGGGAGGTTGGGGAGAAAATAAAAGCTTCCTTTTTTTTTTTTTGTATGTTTAGAAGTGCTAGAGTGCAATTTCTTTAGGTAGTTCAGTTAGTATATATTGCTTTTAATCCCCAACTATATGTACCCTCAGAGCTGGCAACACAATAGTCCTCACAAGCATTACGCCCACTTGATAAGCAGAATATGCACATTTCCCTTTCCATCATCTGAAACTATTACACAGGGCTGAACTAAGGTCTGAGAGTACACTTCAGAGGTTTGTATTCTTTACATTGAAACAGGATTTTCTAGTATTGATTTAAAAAAAAAAAAAAAAAGGTAACACATCTCTGCAAAGCTGGATACCATGACTTCTGCTGTAGACTAATGAAAAACAGTCATCAGAGTTCATCTCCTTCCTCTGCTTGGCTACGACTCTTTTCAAATGATTTATGACACTAGGAAAAAATGTCTGTGTGCACATCTTCATATAGCGTGGTCTGGCTGAAAAAGTTTGTTGAGGACAAAAATATTCTTCAGTCATACATATTTAAGATTTGATATATGTCCTACATAAAAAGCATGCCATGCTACATTTCCTAAATTCATCCCTGAGCACTATTAAAGGCAAAGCTTTCCTTCGAAGTCTGAATTTGCTGACCTTGAGATCATAACAAAAAGTCTACTTAAATAGTTATTTTCTTTTTTCTTTCTTTCTCCATGAAGACCAAACCAGTAAGATTTATCTGCTGTTTTCTTTTAATCTGAATCACTAGTGTTGATTTTGAAAATATGATGCAGTAAAAAAGAAATAAACTTTAAACCCACATTCAAACTTTTTTTTTTTTAAAAAAAAAATAAATCAACTTTGATGGGTGTTTTTTGGGAAGTACTAAATTAAAGGTTATTTTAAAATTTTCATGGGATTACTGACTATCACTTCCCTCACTCCCCAAGATACTGTGCTGTTGGAGTGAGTCATATTTGCCTTCATCCTTCATCTTTTCTTATCCTTTCTCTGACAGTTAATTCAGGTAAGCTCTTTAACCCTCTCCTGCTCTTCTGTGCAACCAACGCATTTTTTACAGAACTAAACCCAAGTAAACCACAACATTCATGCTATGGCTGTATCAGATAACAAGTAAAATATATAATCCAAAACATACGATGATGACGACAACCAGCTCTAAACACTAAAGCTATGCATTATTTTTGCTCTAATTAACTTTCATAACACCACTTACACTTATTTATCATTTAAAATTGAATGCACATTCAAATATTGTGTTGCATCGTAACTATTCTCACTCCCTCTATGATCAAAGCCCAAGTATAAAATAACCATTTTATATGCTTGAATGAATTTTTTCAATTGACGTAAAGGGGAATACAAAGTACAAAAGAGCAATAATAGTGTCCTAACTTTCTGTTTAAACATAAAACAAACATCCCACAAAAACACTCGCACATTAATGATCTTGTACCGAGCAAGCAAGAAAGAAAGAAAGAAAATCTATTTGACAGAATTTTTCCTGTGATAGGCTTAAAGACCAAAATATTATTTTAGCTACATTTTATAACACTGGAAAATATACATAATCATATACTGTAAACTATTAAGTAGCCTGTTAAACACACATTTTTGCACAAGTAGTCAATGTCAGCACTGTGATCGTTTTGAACATAGTAAAGAATAAGTACTTCTTAAAATCAAGTAGAATCATGCAGTTATTTATTTATTTTAGAAACACATGCAGAAATAATACTAATCTTCCCTTCAGGTGTATCCCAATCACTCAGGTATAGATTTGGACTGTCATTTGCAATTGCAAACACCTGAGACCGTACAACATTTTTACGGCAACTAAGAATCCTACCAACTTTGCTAAGTGTAACACACAGTGCAATTGGACTTAACTAACGCTTAGCACGAGAACTTCTATGGTGAAGTGTACTTAAATTTTTTTACCCCCCAAAATTGAAAGGACACTGACAGGGTTCTGCTCGTTTTATTAGCAATTCATCTGTTTTTTAAAAATTGATGCTCATTTATCTTTTAAAACCAGTAGTAGGAAGGAAGCAACACTGTCCTACCTTTACTCCATTTACCCTCTGTAGATTAAAATGGTTCAGTCTAAACAGAACATAGTATTTCCACAAAGTAAAGTTGACAACCGGATTTCCCTGAGGATCAACTGTCAACTGTTCAATGCGATGCATCTGGGCTAATGCATTGAATTGCTGCAGCGTCACAAGATTTGTCTCCTTAAACTTCAGGTGCTTAAAAGAAAAAGAAAAGCCAAACCACAATAAATTAAATAAGGAAACAATAAAGACTGAACACAATGCTTGCTACTCTGTGCCATTCAAACAATTTTCAAACGCAAATAAACAGTCTGATGAAGCAACTGAGCTCACTTCATTCGAGGTCTTTGTGGCAAAACACGTCAATGTATCAACCGATTGGTGTATTACGTATACTTAGACATGTCAACTTTACAAGCCCCTAAGCAATTTATAAACCCTTTAGTAACAGCACTGATATTTTCAATGTTACAAAAAGCAGTGATAGTACTTGAGCAATGTTTATTTTAATTCTCTAAGTAAAGCAACTGCAACATCCACATGTGAAATAAATACAATACGTGTTTTTAAATGTTCTGCTTTTTGGGCCGTAGGAAGCTGGCGTGAAGTCATGCCGTGCTGTTTCTTAGCACCATGCCCTACGGTAGTGCTCCTATGAGCATGGTATATTTGGCTACCTGGTAGCCTTATTGAGGGATGGGAAAGGATGAAAAATTGACAGCGAAGACAGAAGTTTAGTTGAGAGTCTGCTATCCCCCCCAAATTGTTCACCCCACAATGAAACAACTGTTTAATTGAGATAGATAAATTTGTGGGGAAAGTAAGACAAGTTTATCTATCTCAATGAAACCATTAAGTTCTGTTACACCGAGCACCTTAAAAAGAAGCAAGGAGCTCAAGAGGCATATGGACTGAGTAACAAGTTGCTTTATGTATGTTATCACTATTTTACTATTTGCTTCAAAATGACTGGTTTAAGTGTCCAAGAAAAAAAAGGGAAAAAAGGAGTACTAAAGGGACATCTTATTTACATTGTTTTGTTTCATCAAGAACTGCGGATTCCAAGAGCTGTACTGATTTAGGTAGCTATTCCCTTTGAATCTTACCCCTCTCTTTCTATCCTATCAGCTATTTGATCTTCGAACTCACAACACAAATGAAGGCCTCTTAATACCATGGATCCATAACAATATTGTAGAATTGATTACATGTCAGTTTTGCAACTTAAAAATAATCAGCTACGTCAAAGGAATTTAGAGAAACAGTCACCACTCTAAAAAGAAAACTCTACCCTGTGTGAAAATCTAAATTAAAGTCTTGCTTTTTGAGAAGTACCAAGTTAAAGTTAGGGTTACGGGATAACACCAACCAAATGTGTCATTCGCAACCATATCTACATGAAAGCACTCAAGGGTGACCATGCCAAGTTAAAGTTTTATTAGAGAATACATATTCCATAGCTGTTCACACAGCTGAAGTTTGAGGCATTCTTACCACAGAATTAGGAAATTTTATCTTCAGTTTTGTTAACACTTGAACAATTTCATCAAAGTCTATAAACATAAAGGAGACCGTGGCAATAATTCCAGCTGTTTGAACACTCCAGTTTCGATCCAGGCACTCCAGTGCTCCAGCACCATACAAGCAAAGGGTGTCTCCTTCCACTTCCACTAAATGAGACTCAAGAACAGACAAGCCTTGTACTGCACTGCTCAATATTGTATCAAGAGACCTGTGAAGGAAATAAAAATGCAGTGATATAAATGAGATTATTTTGAGATAGTAATGTCATTCTATTGAATGACAGTCCTTTCATTTACCAAAACCAAACTGTCAAATATGATTGCATTTTTCAGCATTCATTCATGTGCAGTACCCAATGTAGTCAAAAACCACTAAGAGCTGGAAAATCCTCTTTCCGTCAAGTAACACTGCAAATGTTCTACCTCTTTGGCAGAAAGGCTCTGGGTGTATTTGAGTTGGGGGTGGGGGGGTTAAAAAGAATTTTAAAATCACTCATATTTAATAACCTGCTTAAAAAGTTTAACTCAGAATGCTAACTTAACATACTTGGTGTTGCTTTAGACATCTAAAACCAACTTCAAACAATGTATTTATTCAAGCAAAGTCACCTTCACATTCTGTTTGCTATATGAAATGTAAAAGTTATGACATGAGTAAGCGCTTTAAGAACAGACAGTTGTTAAAACCAATCCAGGATAATGCTATTCACAGTACTGAACAGTCATTTTTATTCTTGACAAGAGTTTCACTCCTTCCTCAAACCCATATGTCACATTATCTGATCAGGATATCAGGATTCATTATTCTGCTTACAAATGGGAATAATCTTATGGTTTATTATCCTTGTTTAATCCTCAATTAATAGGGATGAATAAGCATTTATTTAAAACAATGTGAGCTTTCCAATTCACAAGAGCAATTTTAAAATTAAGCAGTAAATCCAGGTATTCTCAACTCTCATCTCTGTGTCTTACTTTCAACACAATACACTCAGCTGACTGGACCTGAAGTGCACAGAGAATTCAAGATGAGCACAAATCACAGGTTTAGACAGTTGTGTAATGATTGTTACTATTATATTCTTTACTACCTTCCTAGTATTTTTAATTTCTTTTGCTTTTTTTGACTACCAGTGATCACTTGACTGATGTTTTCTTGACAAAAATCAACCAGAACTCTAAGATTTCACTCCCGATTGGAAATGTTGAGAGCCCACCACTTCATATGTGAAGCTGTAATTACTTATCTATGCTGAATTTCACCTGCCATCTTATTGCTTAGTCACTCATCTTGAAAACATCTTCTGAAATTCTTCACTATTATAAAACACGGTAGTAGATCAAAGTCAATTTTAACTTAGAGGAGCTTAAAGAGCAATAAGGCATCAAGGCAAAATGGTAGGGTTATCTATAGCTTCTCAATTCTAACAGATTGCCACATCTTCATTAATCTGTTTAAACTAATGAAATTGGCGATAAAGATCACTATCACACTTTCATTTCTCTAACCATTCATGGAAAGAGAGAACTCCAAACCTAAGTCTCCAATTCAGAAAACTAAATGCACTGTAATTTGCATGAGATAATTTTAATATATGCAAATAAAGCTCACAGTTTATTTTATTAATATCTCCAGGGGGGTAACATTTGATACTTCATTTAAGTAACCACTTCTATTTCTACAACGCAGTCTATAAATCTTAAACTGCAAAAAATTTCACAAGAACATGGAAACAGATTTTATGCATTATATTTTATTACTGTAGATTTGACAAAAGAATCCTAACATTCATGGTCAGGAAACTACATGGAATAAACCAGCTTTAGTCACTGTATTCAGCATAGGCAGAGACAGCATTACACCAAGATCTTTCCTACAACTGTATCTTACTTAAAATCATGATTTCTCAAGCAAGGAGAGTCTGCTCATTAACGGGACAATGCTCAAGCTACCCAAGTTACATGGACTTGGTTACGGGGGATGATTACTAACGCTAAATTAAATTGTGAAGAAACCAAGAAAGCAGTGACTAAACGTGTTTGGGGAAGGCTTTGGAAGCACAAGAACAGAAAGGACTATAGCAATTTAAAAATGCGAAGAAAAAAATGTTTCAAAAGATGCAGCACTTGACCAGAAATAAAACCCGGGTCTAGCCAATACTAGACTGAAACTTGGATGTTTTCTGTTAGCGAGAGGCAAAGACTTTCTGCCTGTACCTGACGTTCCCAGCATTGATCAGGCACAGGAAGAAGCTGTACTTGCTACTGAATCCACGCAGACTATTTTTTCAGGCTTTTGCCTGAGCTAGCCAGGTTGCAAGTGTGCTAGTTTGGTATTAGCCAATCCAAGGCACACGCTGTTCACCAAGTTCTGCATTTGGTTTTTAAATTATATACAATGCCAGATGGCCACCTTTTAGTTGCAAATAAGCAAGCCACAAAGTGTGTCACAAAAATAATATATTTTATACCAACAATACAAAAACTATCTTTGGAATAAAACTAAGTCAAAGAACTGCTATTGTTTAAACAGCATAGGTATGAAAGCAGTACAGTAAGAGATACTGCTGCTCAAACTAAGATCACGAATTCAACACTTGGTTTATGAAACCTCTCGATACACAAAGATGTTACAAACGTTTGTAATGCTTGTACATCCTCATTTTGTTCACTACAATTGAAGGCAACAATCTAAGCTGTCAAAGAAATGAACAGCCTTAAGAAGGGTCAAGAATTCATATTTAACACTTCTTGCAAACATGAAGTCCTCCCTTGTTTAGCAAAATCACATAACAATTTAGCTTGTACTTCTTCAGTCAGTGAGTTGCTTTCATATTACTTGTCTAATATATATTACTTATCACTAATTGCCAACAGGTTTAATCACAAAGTGAAACACCTTTTTAGGATTGATTTGAATGCTTTACTTTTGATAATGAAGTACAGTGAGATCTCAGAGGTGAGAAGTAACCTGGAATATAAGACATGAACAAGAAGTAGTATTTCCCAATAAAATACCTGCTTTCTTCAGGAAATACATATGCAGCGCTGCCATTGATCTGACAGGGCTCATTATCTTTATCTTGGTTTAAAGAATCCACAAGAGCTATTCGATTCTGCTGTATCTCCCACTGACGAGCAATATTACAAATTGTTAACCGTTTCTTTTCCTGAAACAAGATATAAAAGTCATAACAAGTTATGACAGTGCAGTATCAACACACTTGTTTGTCCTGAAAGAAATATGCTGCTTAATCAAAACATGTTAAATTGAAGAGAGAATAGTAATGGTTGCTGGTTATGCATTAAAATCACTGCATCATTCTAGTGCTATTTTGCATAACTGCCAGCAAACAATGATTTCGCAAAATTTGCAGTAACAGAAACAAGAAAAGTAACATAATAAATCCACAACTTTCGAAATAATGAACTATTTAGTTTGGATAACCACAGAAGTCTCATTTTGACAGTCTGGAGCTATTTGTAATACTCCTCCCATGAAACAGGGCTGACTGCCTGTACTTTCCTCCACGCTGCTAAAGCGACCCTAGCCCTAAGCTAAGACAATTATGCAACTCCTCTAAGTCTTAGAAGTAACTGCAACATACTCTGTGTGGGGGGAAATGTTATCTTCCAAAAAGAATGGAAAAAGTCAATTTTTTAAGAACAGAAAATGGAATTACCTTCATGATAGACACAAGGACTACAACAGATCTAAGTTCAAATATTTTAAAATATTTTTTAAAGTACTTTTTATATTCTAAACAAGTCTTGTCAACAAAGCAGTATTTCAAAAGTCTGTTAAGTACTTGTTCTTGTATAGCCATGCAAATCCTGTCAATTATCTATGATTCTATATATAGGTTATTATTCCATTGCACATATAGATAGATATTATTTAACATATCCAATTTAGCATACTTTAAAAGGTTAAAGAACAAGGTGCTTTGTAAGAGCTCATGGACTGGCAGCCAAACTCTCAAATGAAAACTGCACAACATAAATAATATCAAAGGGTAAATGCATTGCTAGTGTCACTCCATTTGTTTTTTCTGAACCAGCTCCACTTCTCTGGGAGTCAGCCGTCTCACTGTCACACTACTCTCAATGAAACTCCAACAGTGACTTGGAATTTTTGAGAGGAAAATATTATAGCGAAGCTTAGCATAAAATAAATTTACATTCACAAGACATGGAGAAAACAGAGTATCAGTCAAAGCCAATGACTTCTTCATTTATAATATCACAGTCTAAACTGACGTTGCTACAGAACTGTAGCTTTCAAGTCCATACAAAGTAACATCCTTAATTTAAAGCTTCCCACTCTTAGGAAGTATCAAAACCCCACGATATTCTAAGCAGCCTTTAATTTCTCTCACATATGTCATAATGTCGCTATTGGAACTGGACTACAAACAAACATCCTGATATTTTGGAATGAGGGGGAGAAAGGCAAATCTGAATTTGCCCTTTGTAGTACAAACAGCAGTCCGTAGGCAGCTTGTATATTTGTCACTAATTTTACTCATAAACAGGGGAAGGATAAAAGGTACATGCTCTTCAGATGTACTATTGAATATTCTACTTCAACACTATGAAATTTTGGATTGAAACAGCAAGTACTTGTCAGCTTCCAGTTGCAATGATCTTAAATTAGGTCTAAAAGGATCTCAGACAAGGCAAATCCCTGTTAACAATTATTTCCTTTAAGCATAACCTTTATCAATGTCTTACCAGTGTTAAAAGTCTATCTAATACCATAATTTTAAATATCATTACATTAGTTCCCGTCTCCTTTAGAATATTTTGTCAGGCTGATGAAGGCACAAGAAAACAACACAATATCGATTAAGGTTTAGAAGGCTGTACCAAAAATCCTGAAGGCTAGAAAGGCATTATTTGTTTTAGAACTCAGCATTTTCATTTCTGTTTTAAGACAGACTCTATGGCTGCAAAAAAAAAAAAATCAACATAAAGCACAAAGTTTTGTTATAGCCCCTTTTTTCAAGTAGGAGAAAAAAAGATAATTTATTTGATATGTCTATGGAAAAAGGCAGGGGACCAAGTAAACCTCATTTTACTATTTGAAATTAATGCTTTTGATGTATTAAGTTTAACCTCTACTTGCTATTCTCCTGGATTTAATCTATAAAAGTAACATGTGACGGTTACCATCATGTTTTCACATAATTTGTTTCACAGTGGGCGAGTTGTGGACATCAGTGCAATGTGGTTCACTAAGAACGTTCCTCACAATACTCAGTGTTGGAGATCTGAAGTGTAAAGCACTACAAATGCATATTTCTTTGCAAAACAGAAAATAGTAGATCAACAAAAAAGCAAGCATTTCACCATTTGTGACTGCTAATTTGTGGAACCTAGGTATTCCCTTAAGAATAAAGAACAACCGCATCTTAATGTTTCAGAGTAAAACATTTAATACCTCCATGCAAATCCTTCATGCTGCAGCTATTAGACTCAGAGTAAATACTATGATCTGTTTCAATGACTGATAAGGCAGAGATAGATCTACTAGACTTTAAACACTGATAAAAATTATGTCCATAGCTGTCTATAACTGACACTGAAAGTACATGGAAACTACTTTAAAATTTTTCTTCTTCTGAAAGTTTTTCCATCGTAAAGAGCTCAAAACTCTATTTCACATTGAATTTGCCCAAAGCGCTATGATGTTATCTGGTCAGAGAACACTAAGCACCCAACATTCACAGACTTCAGCGATGACTCGGCTTGAGATCACGGAAAGTAGGGGAAGTTGAAATAGTCAGCATATTCTGCCAATCACATTCAGAAAATTCTGTTTGTTCTGGAGGATGAGGGTCTCCTCATAATCTTAACTACCATACAGTCTACTGCTTTGTCAGCCCTCAGTTATGGGCTGCTGGATTCCTACAGAGCTTTGAAAACTTCCAAGAATTAATTTTACAAAAAGCAAATTTCAGAAGTGTGAATATTCTGCTAGCAATAACTATTCCTTGTTCCAGTAAATATTAAGTTCAGCCTCTGTTGGAAAGGATTTATACTCTCTGCACATTTCAAAGTACATCTCAAACTTTCCCAGAGGAGTGGGTTTTAAGCAATGAAAAAATAGTTTGGAAAAAAAGAGATGAAGAAACTCCACTATTACGGTAGGCAAGTACCAGCAAGGGAAAAAGAAAAGATGACGTTGCTGAAATAAACTTTCTTTATGTGAATAAAGGAATACAGGAAAGCACCAATTGTTTGCTACTGAATGAGTGCATATAATTTCATTTACACTGCATATAGTTTAAGAAAGGTTGGAAGAAAGTGACAACAATGAAAATTGCAGAATATGATTCACTAAATATTTTCTTCAGATTTAACTCTGATGAAAATCCTGTAGTTGGCAACTTTTTTTCACTGGCCATGGTATCTCTGAGCAGATTTGTTCTTTTCAATTCAAAGGTGTTGAACAGGAAAAACGAAACCAGAATCATAACACACAAGAACATATTTACAAAGGAAAGATATACAAAATCACTGAATCGTGAAAAAGATATTGGCATTTGGCTCTTATGCCACTTAACTATTTGAAGAAAGCTACCATGATTAAATTATGATTGATGTTGAAGTGCTGATTAACATTCACATAATGTTGAGTAACAATGGCATTACACATTTAAATTATTTTTCTCTTCTAAGGGCAGTATTCACTAGCAAAGTGAACTGAGAAATCTAGGCCATCAAGACAAACAATCCCTCTGCTATAAGAAAACATTACATCAATGGTTAAGAACATGATCTACAAATAAACACTTTCAATAAACACCTACTTTTTTTCCAGTCCAGAGACACAGTTAGCATTTCAACAGCCTAAAATAACACTATGTGTGAATGTTATTTACTAATTTCCCATTTCTTCACATTACTAAGAACTGGCACCAAAATTTCAAACCTGAAGAGACTTTAAATACATCAGTAGTTTACAGGAAAAAACAAAACAAAACCAAAAACCACAAAACAAACCACAACACTGCTAACAAAGAAAAAAAAAAAGACTGTATCTAAGACTTTTTTGTTATATTGGTTTATGGGGGGGGGTGTTGTATGTTTGTTGGTTTTGTTTTGGTGTTTTGTTTGGTTTTGTTTAAACAGAAAATCAAAACATACAGGGATACAAATACACAGGAAATCAAAATATATTCTTAGGCATTAGACATGGAATTCTATTTTTTCCCCATTCGTATATTTAGGTTTCCCGGGCTTTTTTTTTTTTTTTTTAAATATACTTCAAATGTCTTTTAACATACTGTTAACATTCTGTTTGTGTCTTTGTTTTTCAGTTATACACATTCGCTACACTTCTTACAGCCTCCTGCAATTGCTTTCAGTCTAATCCCCTTTATGAAATACGATTTTACCTCAGCAACTTAACAATATGGGTACATGAAAATTGTTTGTTTGTCTGCCAAACTGAATTTTTGTATAACCATTACTGGATGACAAAAAGTTGTAAGCACTTCTTCTTTCTCCAAAGAAAAACGATTTGGAGACAGATGGCGATATTCACACAACGAATGGAATGAGATACTCTTAAATCCTTGAACTTTGGTCTCCTATTAGCAACATAGGTCATTTAGTCACCAGCCCCATAAGAGTATTCTGGAGTGCACCCCAGTCTTCCCTGTTAGAGCTATTCCAGCTCACGTATATAAGCATTAACCAGGCCAGGTGGTCTGGTAGATAAGCACTCTTCTGAACAAGAAGACAACTGTAGTCTAGCTGTTGCTCTGATGACCGCTTAACTCTTTTTATAAAAAGGAACAACTTCAACAGGAAAGAATGAAGGAAAAACTACTTCAGAACACCCTACGTGGCAGCAGTTAGAGCACTCACCTGCAACGGGGGAGACCAAGTTCAAGGAATTTGAAATCACTGAGAAGTCCTTTACTTTACTCTGGATTTACTTTATCTCTGGATTTGTGAAAATGGAGTTTGCCATCCTTTCACATATAATCACACTCATGAGTTCAACTGGGTTTTTTTACTAAAGCGTAACTTGCATAGTTGACTGAAGAGAGTTTAAGTTGTGGAGTGCACTGCTTAAGCTGTAAAAAAAAAAAGTTTAAAGACAGAGAGGCGTGTTGGGATATAAAAGACCTACAGCAAAAAACATTGATACAGATAATTGCTGTGAACTGGTTTACAGTAGGCTTAGATCAGCCATAGAAAATACCTTAAGCAAGGTCTGTTTATGGCTTTCACGCTTCCTTTCTTCCTCTTTCCTTGCTGCAACAGATGCCATACGTCTTTCTTCTTCCTGGATGAAAAAAAACAGCTTCATCAAAGGAGGAATTAATCAGGTTCTGAAAAGTATTACTGATAAATTATCAATACATTTTTGTGTTGGTATCTGAAATGTTAATTTTAATTTTAATACAATTTTAGGATTTTCAACAATTTAATGTTTCTAAATATTATTATTATTATAAATAAATCAGGAAATACAGAATAGATATTTACTCAGATGCAAACATTGAAGATAATGCTATTTAAAACTAGTATCTGTAAAGGCCTTTGAAAAAGTATAAAGCATATGGTGAGTATGACAGTGAAAAAGAACATTTTTAAATATACCAGTGCATTGTATCTTTGTAGTAGTTTTTGCAATTAGTAGGATTTTTCTGTAAGAAAAAGACACAGAGCGAATGAGCTGAATTCTATTTATGCTTGAACTGTAATCCAAGAGTCATTTTTATCATTAGAAACTGTTTCCAGGGGCTTACTTTTCTCAATCAGCAACAGAACTCGAGAAGAAAAGAATATTTTCAAAGTTAACTATAGTGTATCAACATTATTTCTTATCAATATTATTACCTATTCAAGAAGAAGTTTCAAGAAGAAAGCCATTGATTCCTAAATAATGAAAGTCATGTAAGTGAAGATGCTTAATTTTCCTGGTACAGCAATTTAATACTGCAATACACCCCTATTAGGTTGCATGTTCCCTGTTTACAGAAGTCTAAACATTCTCACAGCACAGTATTTTTAGAACATATATTTTCCAAGTAACAAAAGAAATGTTCACTATGAAGTAAAAAGTGTAGAGTCCTTCCAACACAAATATTTGGGAAGCATACTTTAACTTATTTTGATTTACTTCACATGCCATCTGGGTGTTTCTATTAAAGTACCTTCCCAGAACATAGGGAAAGTGTTTTGATTTCCCTCAAAATAGAAAGCTCCTGTCCTAACCTTTTCACTTTCACTTTCCAGAAAGTTACATGTTAAGAAAATTAACAAACAAAAATGAACAGAAAACATCATCAACCACGAAGACATATTGATATGTCAAAATTTCTATATAAATAAAACATGCTATGTTGAGAGCATTACAAGAACCTCGAAGCACACGGGTGAATGCTTACTGGAAGATAAAATGAAACAGGAACTTCCCACTTAGCATTGCTATTACATTTTTAAGAAAATAATTTCCAAAGCGTAAGCAGTTGGGTTCACATAGCAAACTTACTCTTATCTGTGTACAGCCCTCCTGAAACCCATTGACATACCATGGATTTTGACATCAGTCTGAAAGATGATTAAACAACAAACTTCCAAACTGTTCCTCCATGACTTTACCCTAATATGCATATGTTAAACAAGAGAAATACCTTAATGCAGATTAAGGCAGGAGGCTTTGGATAGAATAAGCTTCTCTAACCCAACTGTATGCAAGAATTTCCCTGGAACACTAATTGGAAAGCCTAACTTGTTGTTGTTCTGAAAGAAATCTCTGGCCTTTTGAGGATGAAGTTTTATTGGCAGCCTCCTCTGCTACCGGGCTTTTCAGCTCTTCCTAAACAGGGCGTTACCAAGGGGCGGGTTTTGTAGAATTACAGAATAATCCAGGTAGAGAAGATAACTCAAAAAAATCCTTAGTCCGTGTTAAAGGAGGACCAACAATAAATATATAATTAAATAAAACCACACACAGATACAGAAGGCCTTCGAGATCCCAGAACAACAAAATACCACACAATGAGACCCAATAACTTCATGGAAGGGTTCAGGGTAAGGCTATGAAAATCATGAAATAAACCCCATGCAGGTATATGCCACAAGCATGAACATGTAATTAATAATGAAAAAAAAAAAGTACTGTTCCTCAAGACATGATTCAAAATGTTAAGAACTACAAACATGATTCTCATGACAGCAGTTTATCTCAATTACATGTTACAGTGTACTGTTGCTGTTTACTTAAAATAACTGACATTTTAAAATAAAATATAAACACTAACAAACTATATTAGTGATATCTTTCTATAGAAAGTGGGTTAGAGTTGTTCTGGGTTGGTTTTTTGGTTTTTTTTTTTTTAATTTTCTAATTAAATCTCTTAACATATTAAATAATGAAAAAAAAAAGTACTGTTCCTCAAGACATGATTCAAAATGTTAAGAACTACAAACATGATTCTCATGACAGCAGTTTATCTCAATTACATGTTACAGTGTACTGTTGCTGTTTACTTAAAATAACTGACATTTTAAAATAAAATATAAACACTAACAAACTATATTAGTGATATCTTTCTATAGAAAGTGGGTTAGAGTTGTTCTGGGTTGGTTTTTTGGTTTTTTTTTTTTAATTTTCTAATTAAATCTCTTCCTTTGACCTCGCATTTATGCTTTTTAACTTGGCTTCCTAAAGAAACAAGCTTTTTACAATTTCAGTGTTTTAATCTTCTCTAATGACTTTTCAACACAATGAACATATTATTAAATAGTTTAAAGTATGTTTAGAAGTCTCAAATGAAGGGGGTTTTGTTCCCTGGAAGTTTGATTATACAAAATCGGTATGCAGAAAGAAGAGAAATGTAAACTAGTTTTCCCACCAAGGGAGAGGAAGCAGAAATTATCCATCCTACTTGGCAGAAAACAGCTGGCCAGTTGTCATAGACCCCACTCCAAACTAACGGAGGTATTGTTGTGTTTCACACTAGGGAAGCAAGAATTAGAGAACAAAATTACACTAATCTATAGGAAATTAGCCCTCATTAATTTTATTCCTTTCTAAACAACTTAAGGTTGGGGATTTTTCAAGCTTTAAGGCAAACATCCACAAAGTTCCCTAATTCAGTTTTCTTTCTCTCAGCTTCCACAAATATCTCTTCTTATTCTATCTTCCATCTCAAAGCCTTCCTTTAATCCAGTCCAAATGTGTACTTTATGACACTGACTTCCATACATGAAGGTCTATTGCTCTCATTCAAGTCAGTCCAGTATTCAAAGAACGAAATCAATGTAAGTACAAGTGTTTTATTAACTGAGTAAGACTTTTTTTCTGGATCAAGAGTTTATCCTAACTACAGACACTTAAAAAATACTACTTCTTTTACAAAAGCAATTACCTCGGCCTAAAAAGAAAATATATCCTACCTTTACTCAGTATTCAAAAAGACAGAATGATAGAGAAAATATCTGAATAAAGATCAAGGGCCAAATCCACTTTTTATGGAAATCAAATTTGTATACATTTCTTGATTAATCTTACATCACACATGTAATCAGTCTTGAAAAAGAAAACCTCCCCCAATCCCACAAAAAAACCCAAACCCCAAAACCTACAAAGTTATAAAACAAAGCCCTTAATAACCTTGTCACAATTAATTTTTACTACCACCCCTTCTTCTCTTTTAGCTCCAGCTCCTTTGAAATGCTTTCTGTCTTCCTTTTTCTTTGTTGCCCGTTATTATTCTGCCGCTATTGTCCCTAACTTTGTTTCCCTTTTAAACCAAACCTTGCTGGACAAGGGGGATGCTTTTCCAGAAGGTCAAAGTGCCAGATCACTACAAACGGACTTGGATGTCCTCTTGTATATTGAAATCTCCTCAATTTATTAGTTCTCCACTTCCCATCTAAAAACTTAATAAATGGCTAAGAAGCTCATTTCACAAAAAAAAAAAAAACCCAAACAAACAACAACCACAGAAAAACACCCTACAATCAAAAGCAAACTCTAAAAAAAGAAGGCAGGAAAGCGAGAGAAAAAGGGCAGAACATGCTTCCTAAAGAAGCACGGAAGTCTTGGTTTCTGCAGTACGACTTTGAGGCTGCAGGTTTACATTCTCAGGGCAAAGCAGCAGTAGCTACAGAACGCAAGAAAAATAAGACACACTAAAGCTATTACCACCTTTATAAAAGCGTTCCATGAGAGCAGTACCACAACAGTGTCTGTGGCTTTGGCATGCTGATAGCTCCCCCTGCTGCTGCATCAGCCCTACTACCACAACCTGAGTAACACCCCAGATTTTGGCCAAACCTATCATGATGTCATCAGTCTTTCGAAGAGGTAACATCCAGCAAGACCCGAGAAGGATCCTAAAGAGACCACAGTGGAATGCACGTATTGCTCCTCACTGCTGCTTTCCTATTATTCAAACAGGTTCTTTTTCAAGAAATGATAGCATGTAAGTCACAGGAGAAAAAGATCTTAAGTTAGCACACGAGCAAAGCAGCATTTCATTTCTATAGCACATCTACCTTAAAATTATTCAAATAATTTTACTATAGATCAGAAAGAGCTACAGTATACTTGATATAAACTATTTTGGGTAATGGAAAAAAAAACCAAGGAGAATAAGAAGAATGGCATGGAATATACAATTAAGCTTTCAAGACATAAAGAGACTCAACACAGTACACTTAAAATACACAAAATTCAGCTCACTTATACTTACAGAAGGCAGACTACTTTTTGTTAGGTATACCACAGAGGCTGATCTTACACAAGAATGAAGTAAGGATGGTTCTAATAGGAATATAGCCATGGAAAATAACGAGTAGAAAATTTTTGATTAATTGTTCTTTAAGTGATATTTGGCAATGAGATCTATCTCCTTTTTTACTTTTGGTATATTACATTTAGTATATTTTTTGCAAGACCTGATTTAAGAGAGAAGATTACGATCTACAAGAATGACTTAAGAAGTTCCTGAAGTATCTTATTTTCAAGTGGAAAGAAAAAAATAAAAATAAAATCAGGGATCCTCCCCTGAACACTCCACAGTGGTGATGGAATCAATAATGAATTCTGCACTGGACAAAGAAGTAGAACCTATTCCCTGATCAGCAGAGAAATGTCTACGCTGATAACAAAAAAACAAACACAGCTCTCTTACTTTAAGCATTCAAAACCTGTAAAATGACAATGAAAAGAAGCAAAGTTTTACTGTTAAAAAGATGCAGCTTGTGTTGTGGTTCCAAAACTGAAAGACTTTAAAAAAAATAAATGTATGTACACTATATATTATATATACACACATATATACATACACTTAGGAGCTCTGTTGAGAAAGTGTCTTTAAAGTGATGGATAGCTAGTGTTCCTGGTTAAATAATTTCTCAGTAAGGAACAGGTACACATTTCGTTCATATTTTAATATTTTATTACGTTTGCAGACAGTATCTGCTTACCGCTACAAAAGACTGGAGGAAAAAGATAAGTCACAGCTTAACTGTAAGTGCCGCTGGATAGGTCCACCTTTTCAAAAGTTCAAACTACAAAACGTATTCAAAAAGCTTCAATGCCCAGAAACAGCCATTATATTATGTTAACCAAGCAATGCAAATGACTACATGCGCAACCTGAGCCTTTGACTGGAATGCACTTCAATTTCACATAAGCTGTAAAACCAGTCCCACTATCTCACAACTAAGGTGGCCTAAAAGTGTCACTGTTACAGTTACTGATGGCTAACACAGGTGACAGTAATCTGTCCAGCTACTGTAATTCAGCCTCCTCCTTACTCTTTAAGCCTATAGATTGATCTATCAAAGTTTGAGAAAGTAAATGATTTCCACTGAGTTGATGTTTTAGATACACAATATAAAGTGGCTGCGTTTTTCAGCTGAAAACCATCTTCTAGTGTGGGCAATGAATAAGTGTTTACAGTCTTACAGGGAAACTCATTACAGGTGACTAACCTCCACTGATTTCACCACAACTGGATCCATGCCTCAGAGGTTTAGGAGCTTAAATCTTACATTCAAAAATGGCTTAGGAATGAGATGGCCTTAGAAAACACCAACTTCCTCATGGGTCAGGGCTTAAAAGTTGTCATAATATGATGCAATCCCTTGAATAAAGGCAAATCTGACCCAACTTACAAAATATTAGAATGGTTACAATGCAAAAAAGTTTTATTCCAAGTGCAAAGTATTTGACTTTCATGGCACCTATGTGTTTCTGAATAGTTCCCTAACTCAGGAGTAGTTACCACCAGACTTCTGCTCTGAGGTTCCCTTTCTCCAAAGAACCCTATAGAAAAGGCCTGGCACCAAAGAGCATATGTCTTCTTGAAAACCAACACGAATAAAGCTTCAAAGGCTCTTACAAAATTTTGAAAATATCCTTCAGATTTTATTCTTTCTTGAAATAATTTTCTTGTCCCAGTGAAGCAAGTAAAAAAAGTTGACAGTAGAAGTAACAACTGTGTAAAACTCAGTTCTCAAGCAGAAAAGCTTCTGAACAGGTTAGTGAGGAATTCCTAGTCAGGAAAAGCCAACATCCTGGTCCAGCTCTCAGTTCTTTCCAAGACAAAGCAATACTTAAGTTCAAAATGGACTGGATGCTCTTCAGACTAATGAAAAAAAAAGATCCTATAAATGTAGTTAGAGTTTAGGTAGTCTAATCGAGTGAGAAAAATCACATACCCAGTGTTGTACTCCCATTCCCCCACCAAGTTACATGCTATTGCCATCGGCCATGAGGGTAAATGTAGCATCACTAGGCAGAATAGCTAGATTTGGCACTGCCAAGTGTCTAATTTTATCACAAATCTCATGGTACTTGTTTTTTTTCTTGAAATCCCAGTTTCTTAAGTCATATGGTTATCTGGGTAACACAGTTTTTATTGGAGAAAATATATAGCACCCTCTACATGGAGAAAATGTAAAAAAAAGCTCTCAAGGCTCAAAAAACAGAAGGCAAATAAAAAGAATGCAAAACACGTTCTTTTTACAAGTAGATTTATGAGCAGCACAACTGGTGAAACCTAGTTTTCTATGGCTTTTTGTCTTGTAGTTGATTCTCTGATGTTTAACAAGGTGCGAACTCAGATTAAGTTTTTCCCATGGCTGTGCATTTCTAACAGCTTTTCCCCCCATACAGATCCCATAGAGTTTAAGGAGGAATTTGAGTTCTTTCTACAGTTTTTCCCATCACTGAGTGTTCTGCCAGGATCCATCCCCTCTCAGGAAGGGGCGGGGAGGGAGAGACACTTTCTTTATGTCACTCAAGTTTCTGTAATAATACTGAAAAAACGATCTTTCTAAAAGCAGAGCAATTAGCGAGTATGCAATCAAGTCAGTATAAATTCGCCAAAAACCCCAAAACCATCCCATAGAATATCTGTGGACAAACAAGCATTTAGTATTTTCAATGCTGGGAGTAAAACTTTGATGCCCTAAAACACTTTCTTTTTGAAACAGATATTTTCCACATATATGTTATATTTTACATCATAATTGGCTCTGGTTTACACTCATGGTGGATCAGCTACAGAACAACAGGATAGATGGTAAAACAGCAGATGCTATTTATAATGCAGTACAGCCTTTGTACAAAGCAAATGAGCATTCAAAATAAGGTATATGTATCAGCACCTGGTCAAAAAAAAGAAAACACTGCAACACTGTTCCTTGTAAAGCGTATTCTATTAGTTATCTTGCTGTTGGATGGATTTTTCTTGTAAGAAGGTCACGCTTACACTTCACTTTTGAGTGTGTAAGAATTAGCATGGCTATTCCCTTATTAGGAGATAAAATAGTTGACTTAATGGTAAGGCCCCCAGTGATTGCCCTTCCTCCTCTAGCTTACAGTGTATTTTCAAGAAGTCTGTAGGAGACTTAGTTGTCTGCAAGTCCTCCCTTCCTTATCAAGGTTACTTGAACTTGAGCAGCAGAAACAGAAATGAATGGGGAGAGCAGGTCAGGTAAGGAAGGGAGAAATACAGAGAGACACAGAAACTGTGTGATCACCAGGTTTCCTCAGGGAGGCAGACTAAAGAACCCAACAAGATTTCTAAATGAAAGATAGCAATAACACCGATTTTAGGGCAAACAGGCTATGCCTTTGGAAGAAACAGGCTGTTCCTTTTCAGCTATATAGCAAACCGCTCAAGAGTGTGTTGAGAAAGTTCTAACCAAAAGCTTTGCAGATTCTCTCATGTCACATAGTGATTTACGAATGAAGAGTTTAAGCATTTCAAAATAAACATGCTCAAATGAAGTAAAAAAGCACACTTTTACATCATACTGAACAAAAGACAAAAGGTTAATGTTTTAAATATTGTGATGTCTACACACCATTCAATTCCATACTAAATTAAGAAAAAATGGTGGTATTTTTAATATACATATACACACATAAACCCCTACATTTTACTTCTGAATTTAAGGATCTAGTAAGTTTGATGAAAACAGAAATTTCTTACTGTGATTCTCTTCATATCTAGCTGTCGGAGCTGCATCATATGATGGAGAACAGTGTGTTTGTACCATGTCTCCTGAGCTATTGGATTGCCATCAAGGGTGATATCTGACAAAGTTGAGGAATCAGCAAGGCACAGAATATCCTCAAAACTGCAACCAAAAAAGTTTAAAAGGTTTAATGTCATAGAGTAGGAATAATTTTGAGATGGAAGGTTTTATTTCTCAAGGATAGAACATCAATATTTACCTGTACTGAAAAAATTCCACCCATCAATATTGTGTATGATAAATTATTTTGAAATACCAACAGCTGCTGCTGTTAACTTTTTAATCTCTTCACATACAAATAAAAAGGGACCCAAAATAAGAACTTGTTAACTATGGAAGTATAGTTTGACCTAAAAAAAGACCCTAAAATAGCATACATATCAACTCATATTCCAAAAAAATATTACAAGGTGTATTTGCCATCAAAGCCAGCATGAAAACCATGGAAAACACAAGAAAAAAAAAGCAAACCACAAATACCACAGAGTAATCCTGGGTGTTTGGAACATCATTAAATATTGGAAGAAAAACATTTACAAAAGCATCATATTGTCTTCAAAACAGACCTGTCTACTGTTCACAGTTCAGTCAAACACTAACAAGTTGGCTTTTCAGACATCTGATTTTGTTTCCTGACAAAAATAGCCGGCCTGTGTAAAATGTATTTAGATGTACAGCCTGTATCATATTCTTTTCACTGAAGATGGAATGTGAAAAGAAAGCAGCTGACGCAGATAAAGAGTATTTTTAAACAACAAAGTAGTATTTAACTTGACTTCAGAAAAAGCTAAACAGTTATAGAAGTAAATATGACTCCCCAACGCCTTTTAAGAAATTGATTACCGTGTATAAATGTACAACCGTGCACCCATCCTTATGCACTTCGGCCTTCAAAAGTCGAGTCTGTGTTATGAAGTTAAGTAAGTTCAACCAGAAAGTATGAAATAATTTGACTTGGTACTTTTGACAATGAGGTTTAAAAAAAAATCTGATAATTACAGAAGAATCAATGATGAGCACATAAAAATATAAATAGAGGATCACTTTACTAGATAAACTAATACTTAATGACACTCTGAAATAAGACCATTTCTGAAGTGGAAAATATGGAATTATTGCCTTGTTTTATATTCGACAATCTTACTGATTTCATTAACTGATTATAGTTCTCACTCTTGGCGGCAGGAAAATTCTTCCTCCACTAATACTTGGAAGGATACCAAACCTTAAGTATGCCCTGAACTTAGGGATCAGAAATCGTGTGCAGTACAGATGTTCTTACTAAAGACTGTCACTGAATAAAGTGGCAACTGCCTTTATCACTGGTATCACTCAACTTCCAAGAAAGCATACAATATTCTGGGGAGGACTAACATTCAGATGCAAAGGGCTTCAGAGCTACCAGAATGTCAGGTTTTAAAATGAGATATCCCTGGAAGACTCCAGATATTAGATAAAACAATTTCTGCAACAACAAAAAGAAACACAGATAAAATATAAAAATAATATAACCAAAGAGCAATCAGTCTCAATCAGCAGAAGAAAGCCCTAGATACCAACATAAGCTAGCAGGAGTAAAGAAAAGAAATCACCTAATAAAAATCTCAAAAAACCCAATGCAATTAGTACAGCACACAAGTAGCTTCTACGCTACATGCCAAATGGATGCAGCAGAAAAATGATAGTGAAGATTCTACTACCTTTCTGCTTAGTATATTAAAACAACATAAGTAGTGATGGAAAATAAACTATGTACAGATTCCAAGCCAGTGAAGGTGCTTAGTATATCTGAAGAACTGGGTGTTTTGTACATGTGGTTAAGACAAGAAGTTTGATTATCATTTTCTGCTTCCTTTCTATAAAACAGCTTGTGTAACCACACTTATGGTAGATCAGGCTGACATATCACTTAAAAGATAATCTTCTCAAATGACACAGAAGTTAATAAAGCAAATTCGTAAACACGTGAGCGTAAGAAAACATAACTGAATTTCTGTTGAGCTAGAATAGATTTTTCTTGACAAATATGAAACTTTTTTGGTCTTCAAAATCAGTTTCAAATAATGTAAATGTAGTTATTAAAAGCATTAAATATATTTACTCCAAAAGCTTCCCTCTAAAGATTTAGCCAAACAGAACTTCCGCCATTACATATGATTTACAGATTTTTAATAAAACCGAGGTCTTCAGGAAATGACAGAAAAGTCGAGAGTTTGCTAGTGTTTTCAAGACCTTCCACTTATACATACTGCTGTGCTTTGAAATTCTCAGTACTTCAGCATACCAGAACATTCATTCTGGAGCTTAAACAGATGTGCTCGTTTATGCTGCTTTTAGCTGTCCTATTAGCAGCTCAATTTTAGAGTAAAACAGTAGCGCAAAATAGCTATGTTTTCACATCTTTGTATACACATATGAAAAATAGTGTTTAAGAAATTCAATGCAGAAAACTTAATACACTGTACTTGTCACACTGGCATCCCAATCCTAAGCCAAGCAAAGCACTACATACTTTAGAACCAAGCTTCTGTCTGCTTCCCAGCATGCAGACTGCTGTGACAGAGCCAAGTGGTGACCACCCTACAGGAATCAAAGGCCACACTTCAATGCTGTCTCTAGACTCCTCTGTGGTGCACAGAGGCTGACCTGCTCATGAAATTCAAAGCAGCTGTGGATGACGCTGTTTCAGACTGCCTCCGTCGATCTTGAGTGGAATGTCTGCTTCTCTTTCCAAAAGACCTTCTCCTGCAGGAGTCCCAATCAACTATGGCAACCACCTCCCCTTCCCTGTCCTCCTTTCGTGCTAGATGAATTCACCTTTGCTAAAATGGTTGTTTCAGCAGCACAGAAATGAGTTGTGAATTTGAGCTCAATTACTAAAAAGTATTTCCTGGAAACGTTTTCAGAATAGATCAATTTTACATCTTGTGTGCATTCTCAGAGTCCTGCATCCAATTCTCCCCTCTGCCAGAGAGGACGCAAACCCACCTCTCCTGCCTCATACGAGAACGTGGCAATTACTAAGCAGCAGAGTACTCTGGAGTGGTGCAAGCTCAGCCTCCACCAGCAATACACATTCGCATGTACACATTTAGTAGGCAAGAATAGGACACAGGAACACGTGTCCTGTGTTACAGCCTGCCGGCTTAGGAAGACAGTTATTCCTTCTCTATACGTTTGCATCAATCATTTTTTTTAAAGCATGTTCCATAAAGGGGAAAAAGTTCTGGAGCAAAGAAGGAAGGCAACATACTCTCTACAGTCTGACAGAACACCCAACAGAGAACTGTATGCTCCAAAAACATTCAATGAAGAAAACTTGGGTTTTCCCAGGTTTCCAACCACTAAACTACTGATTAAAACAGACGTTACCACAATCAACCTTTGATTCTCCTCATGCTACTTTTGTTCAAGTACTTAACAGCATATTCATAAAATTTTCATTCTGCTGAGAAAAAACACACCCATATTTTCTAGTTTTTATTAGGCTAAGAACATTCCTTCTCTCAGGTTTCCAGTTCAGCAACCAAATGAAGAAAAACAATTACATGTCCTTTGAGCTAGTATCCAACTATTTCCATATGGCCAGACAATGTGCCTTACTAAATGAAATAGTCAATGCAGCGCTGACCTGGACAGCAGTGTAACAGTGAAAATATGTATTTTGTTTCCAAGATTAAAAACTGGCCTTCCCCGGTTTCATATTTTGAAATATGAGCAATAACCCTTTTTCTGAATCTCAGTGGCATCTCTTTCCTGAAGAAGAGAGTTTCTGTAATCTCTTCTCAGTACCACATGACAAATTCAAAATGGGATTTCTCCTCCTTCTTTATAACTAGTTCTAGAGAGATATATATCACCTTCAGCCATCAGGTATGAATGCCTTCAGTTTGTAACTGCTGATTTTTTTGGGGCTGAAGCCAGAATTAGGACTTCTTTTGTTTTAGATCAGCATCAAGTTTTACAGTGTTTGGTGTTAGCTTATATTATCTTGCCAATACATCCTTTTTTACTAAAAGCTCTACAGAGAAGCAGAAGCATTCCGAGGTCTCCTCTGAAGCACACGGGAAAGAGACCATCAGTGATCAAACCCATGATAGATTCGCATGCCTTAAATAGCAACAATTTTAAAGAGGCATTCCCAAATCTTTTACTGAAATATTAATTCATATATGTCAGTATGTATCAATTTAATACTCAAGGATTTTTGCTGACATACAAAAATAGGGAGCAGCAAAACTTTCCACAGGAGCACTGCCCCCAAAATGCTATTTTTTATTTTAATGTTCACTAATAAAATATTTTCATGAACCTGTAACAGAAATATATCCAGGTTTTGGCAATATATTTTGTTATTTGTTTCCATTTGCAGGTTTTATCTATGCAACTACAGATCATAGAATGGTTTGGGTTGGAAGGGACCTTGAAGATCATCTGGTTCCACCCCCCCTGCCCTGGGCAGGGACACCTCCCACCAGCCCAGGTTGCTCCAAGCCCCATCCAGCCTGGCCTTGAACACCTCCAGGGACGGGGCAGCCACAGCTTCTCTGGGCAATTTGTTCCAGTGCCTCACCGCCCTTATAGCGAAAAATTTCTTCCTGATATCTATTCTAAACCTGCCCTCTTCCAGCTTGAAGCCATCCCCCCTCGTCCTATCACTACCCGCCCTTGTAAAAAGTCCCTCTCCAGCTTTCTTGTGGGTGCCCTTGATTAGAATATCTGTGTATCAATTTGATTGTCTAAAAGAAAAGTCAGTTGTATAGACACAGCTGTTTCTAGGAAAAATAATTATCAATACTACCATATGGCACACAGTAAACCCAGGGAAGTGACTCATAAAACCACACAAAATCATTTAAAAGCATTGCAGGAATGTTCAGATGTAGCACATCAATTCACTGGTATTATGGTTGCATACAACTTCTTCAGATAGTTCCAACAGTATCAAGCCAAGCATCGGAACACAGATGGTCAAGAGTATACCTCTTTATTGAATCATTTTCCTGTTAGGAGACGTATCTACTACATAACTCAAAATCAGGAATTAAGGGTTTTTTTTGGCCTTCAAATCTGCTACATGCAGAAGGTTATTGTTTAAAAAACCCAAGCTAAATGTTATCATGAAAAGAAATGTTTTGTTTGTATCATGTCTGGTAAATAAAGAGTTAAACTGATCCACCCACATACTTACCCACATATGTATGTAACGTCTTTTGTTTCACATTAAGATTTTATTTTTATACATATTCCAACTAAAAATTAAAACCAAATTATATCTTTGCATGAATGTTCTAAATAAGTATTTCTAGCTTATATGAAAACTAAGACTAGATCTATCAATAGTTCAACCTAAGCCCCAATGAACAAATGAAAACAACCATGATAAAGTACCAAGAAGCAAGCTACAGATTCTATAAAGTTTGAGAAATCTACTTTAAAAACCTCACAGCAAAACTGAAACATTTTTCCTTCTTTGAAGACCATAAAAACAACACAAGCTTGCATAAAACAACGTGAGAAAGGAGTCAGAAAGCTGCACAAAATACAGAAATTCCACTGACTGCAGTGATGCTCCCTGATGGCAAGGGAGCCAGCTACTGCAGTCCCCTCATTGTTCTTGCCAAGCTAAGACATTTTTTAGAAAAACAGAAACAAAAGGCACGTTTCAATTCTGGAAATCACTCAAGAGACAAAACTCTAACCCTTTCTCTGGCAGATAATTAAGGGAAGAGCACATTAAAGATTCCTGCAGTTCATCTTTGATTTTTTTTTAAATGCTTAATATCTATAAGTATTTAAGGAAATCTACTGCACTGGTGCTTTAAGAAGCTAAGGAACACAGACAAGTAGGTTGGAGCTGTCTGCAAAAACCATAATGCAGGTCAACTTAAAATATTCAAGCACCTATTACAGTAAAAGCTCATGCTAAGTATAACATTTTTACAGAGAAAGCAGCTACCGCGAGAACAGCACAGTATTGCCAGTAATTAAAACATGAAGCATCTTTCCCCTATCCCACATTAAATTATTTGATTCAAAGCAAAGAAGGCTGGTCGTGATTAAGGGATTAAAAAAAAAGGACATACCAAACTGAAGATAATGCAGGCACTATTTTTTTTTTTTTTTAATATTAGCACTAGTATAAATGCAGACTCCACAAATGCATGAATATGGAAAAAGCATAGAATACAAATATTTCTATCTATTTATAACAAAATGCACTTAGTAATTTGAAACTATAGAAGCCTTGCTTTGAAAGTTGAGCTATTCTGCTTCTGCCATCTGGCTTGAAAGGGAAAATAACCATGAATATATCTTTCAGACTTTATTCATATACGGACAAGTAAAACACAAGCATGAAATAATCTCATTATCATAAGCAGAATCTGACTCAGCAGTTTGTGTAAGTCCATAAATACAGTGATTGCATGTTAAATATAATATATACCTTGTGTAAAGTTGCTTTAACAGATATGTAGTTTAACAGTAAAACAATATATTTTTAAAAAATTACTTTTAATTTTGATCATTGTAAACAGTGTGATGATTTTTAAATTAAAGATACAAGTTTCTTGGTAGAATACACATACTACAACTACATTTAAATGCAAAGGTTTTCAAGAATTTTTATTTCTAAAGCAGAAAATACTCAACAGCTTGATTATGTTATCTGATATGTTAGAAAAAAAAAAAAAAGTATCTGCATTCATAGTGTTTGAATTTAAATTTTAATTAAATACAGATCCAATAGGATACTTCAAAGTACTGATAGGAAGCAAACTGCTATTTCCCTTACCTAGATATATTGTTGAAGCTGAGGAAGAGACGTTGGAGACGGGGCAAAGTATCCACATCTTTCTAGAAGGAAGGATAGAGGAATAAATTCAGTAGCTGAAAGTAGCTTTTGAACCTCTCTACTTTGCCTTATGAAACACTTTCACTTCTATATGCTATAACCTTGCTGCAACATTGATTTCTGTTGAACGTGCAGCTCCATTTCTCCCTGGTGCAGACTGCAAGGGAGTGTTTCAGTGCAGATATCTACTCTGCAGAACAAGCTGCATCACTTGCAAAGCAAATGATGTTAAATAAAAGAGGATAAGGCTGCTGCTGGTTTCTGAACAAGCTTTTGGGAAATAAGCCAAGGTGCTGTCTCAGCATTTAAGCTGCAGGATAAACACACTGTAAAAAAAAAAAAAAAAAAAAAAAAGAAAAGAGTAAGTTCATTTGGTGACCATGCTGAAATAAGGTTTTTGAAGTGCAATACAGCAGTGCAATTAGCACTACCAAACAGCAGTCGCTCTTCAGCCAGAGAAGGATCTGAAGGACTCTGTCACCTTTACCATTAAAATGTGTAAGAAGGAATGAGTTTCCAAAACGAGTAATTATGAATTTAACACATGTCCCTAAAGACCTCTGCAGAAAACCTCTGAATAGCAAATAGCTCAAATACTAGTAAAATGAAACACATCAAGTAAGATCAAACTTCATTTATGAAATATAAATCCGTAGTGGCCAGACAGCCCAGTCTGTTTCACGTACCATTCAGACTGCACACCTAACCCCTCTGTGATACGCCTGCATCTCCTTCTCCTCCTCTAAGGGGCACATTGCAACTTGCCAACAGTGGACACAAACCTGTTACTTAGAGTACGGGGAAGTGTCACGCACCTCACTACCTTGATTTTAGCCACAAATCAAATCTGCAGCCCTTTCTCCCTCCATCTGATTTGTGACACATCTACATACCATTCCAGAAGCAGTTCATTCTACCCAAACAGGTGAACATAAGGCAGCCCTAAACAAACCATGCAGCTGCTATTAATGAAACAGTAAATGTGAGCATTGCTGAGAGTCATAGCTCTGTACACAATAAGCAGGGCTTATTAGCTCAGGTCTGCAGTTGCAAATCTCCTGGCTCAGAGCTGTTCTGAACCCTCCCAGACCAGACCATGGAAACATTAAGTTTGCAGTAGAATTACACCTGGACATTCCTTCTGTTTCTAAGGCTACTTCGTGTTGATGCTTAAAGGGGTGGGGGTGCATGATACAGGTGGACACACACACGAAGGCAGGCATTGTAGGGTTGTGCACAGTAGTTCTTACACAACAAAGATTATAATTAATCAAAGAATTTTGCACTAGAGAATACAGAGTAATTTCCCCTGAAGACAATAACTAGCATGATATGTTGCTGTCCTGTAAAATATGTTGCAAGTTTCACAGGGATCTCAGCAAACACCTTCCTTGTTTGGGAAAAAAAAAACCCACAACCAACCAAACAAAAAAAACCCCACAGGATTGGGGGAGCAACAACAACAACAACAAAAAAAAAAAGCACAAAGCCTCCAGCTACTTCTGTTTTGATACAAAGCTATATAGAGCAGTGGACACACAGGGCAGTTCTTTTGTGACAAGATGGTAACACCTACACCACTGCCTCAAGTCTAAGATCAAGCTGCAGATGACAAAACTCAAAATTCTAAGCTTTTAATACCTCAAAGCAATCAAGCAGGTCCATGTTTCAAACAAAAATACAGCTTATCCTCCAAACAGTGGACCCTAATTCACAACTGGATGGAAAGTAAATAGACAATCCATCATTCACAGTATGTATAGATGTGTGCTTTTAATGCCATACAAGACCCTTCGTAATAATTTATTCTCTCTGTTCGCTATTCTTCAGAATAATCAGACTTCTTGAAGACACTTCAAGATCATAAGATACGATTCTGCTATAAACCAAGCCTCAGGATTGCCTTTTTAAATCCTACCACTGTGGACAAACTACAGTTTATTCTTACAAAAATAACTGCTTCTGGATTCAAGGAGTTCCAGTCTCTAACGAACACCTCAAAGACAAAAAATGGTCCCAAAATTGCTAATCTAAGGCCAGTGGATTGCAAGAGATTATTAAATGTTTAATTGCCCACACAAACTATAATCTGGTTAGATAACTTTAATTATTCAATACAGTTAACTGCAATGGGTATGGAGTTCAGTATGGAACCTCATTTTGTTTGACTAACGGGAATATCATCTTTCCTACATAAGAATAATACACTTATGGGGGGGAGGGGAAGGTGAAAAATAAGGAAGGTTCACAAAAAGTGTACTGAAAGAGAAAGTTAATTAAATTATATTGATTTTATTTCATGATTTTGGGAGGGCAAACTTTTTTAAATTGAAGTTAGATTCTTTCATTTAAAGAAATAATCAAGTTGAAAAAGCTTGATTCATAATGATAGTGTTGTCATTATAGCTAACTAAAACACACTCCAAAAACTAAAGTAAAACACAGAAACCAAAGTATTTTACTGAACTTAGAGTGAAAATTTTGCAGTTAGGTGCTGCATCATAACTATATCATGATTAAAATGACACCCTACCCCCGCACAGTCAGCCATAAGAAAATCTAAACTTCATCTTAAAGGAAAGAAATATAAACACCTTCCCTCAACCACTCAAGTATTCCAGGAATAATGTAACAGTATCTTGGATATTCTTTCCATAAAGTGATATATTTGTTTTTATGTTTTTGGATTTTCAGTAATACCATATTGCAGCAGATTCTGAATTTCAATAGAAAAGTAGTGCAGACTTCATATTTTCAGGGTTTCTCCTCAAAAACTTAAGTAAAGAAATACATGTAAGTTGTTGTGCATAGAGAAAGAGACAACACCTATCACTAAAGTAAGAAAAAGGTTTTATTTTAGGTAAGAGATATTTACTTTAGGTTTCAGACAATATGACATGTCCAAGACTTGAATTCATACGATTTAAGAGCCCTTCTCTAGAGAAGCCACACTAATACAGGCCAGGATGCTGTTGGCCATCTTGGCCACCTGGGCACACCGCTGGCTCATATTCAGCCCGCGTTCCACCAACAGCTCCAGGTCCTTCTCCACCAGGCAGCTTTCCAGCCACTCTGCCCCAAGCCTGTAGCGCTGCATGGGGTTGTTGTGACCCAAGTGCAGGACCTGGAACTTGGACTTGTTGAACCTCATACCATTGGCCTCAGCCATCGATCCAGCCCGTCCAGATCCCTCTGCAGAGCCTTCCTACCCCCAAGCAGGTCTACACTCCCACCTAACTTTGTGTCCTCTGCAAACTTACTGAGCGTGCACTCGATCCCCTAGTCCAGGTCATTGATAAAGACATTAAACAGAACCGGCCTCAGCACTAAGCCCTGGGGAACACCACTTGTGACCAGGTGCCAACTGGATTTCACTCTATTAACCACCACTCTTTGGGCCCAGCCCTCCAGCCATTTTTTTTACTCAGCGAAGAGCGCACCTGTCCAAGCCATAAGCAGCCAGTTTCTCCAGGAGAATGCTGTGGGAAACAGTGTTGAAGGCTTTGATAAAGTCCAGGTAAACAACATCCACAGCCTTTCCCTCATCCACCAAGTGGATCGCCTTGTCACAGAAGATCAAGTTTGCCAGCTCCTGTGCCTTCAAGACTTCCTTCTTGAAGGATATCCAGCCTTCCTAGACTCCTTTGCCCTTCAGGACTGCCTCCCAAGGAGCACTGTCAACGACACTTCTGAAAAGACCAAAGCCCACCCTCTGGAAGTCCAAGGCAGCAGTTCTGCTGACCTCCTTCCTTGCTTCTCCTATCTAGGGATTTCACGATCCCTATGCCCAAGACAGCCTCCAACGGTCACTACCCCCACAAGTCCTTCTCTGTTCATAAACAACAGGTCCAGCAGGGCATCCTCCCTAGTACTGTAACAGAGTAAGAAATGAGCAGAATTTTCTTATTTTTGAAATGTAAAAACAATTCATACATGGTTAAGCAGCAGAAATTCGAGAAAGGAAAGGCTCAGCAGCAATAGGAGACCAAAAACTAAAGGAATTACAAGAAAAATACAGCTACTTAAGTCAACTTACTGTATTATTTTAAAAAGCATTTGTTTAAATAATCTACTTGCCATACCTGAACTACAAGTCATAAACTGCAAAGTTAACAGCTTTATTTTTTAGAACGTAAAAACATACGATGCTGGGTTAAAGCTTCAACTGGGAATTCTGCTTTTAAGATCAACACTTATTTTCTCTGCATTTGGCTCAGAAATATTCATAAGGAGATGAAATTTAAGATGATCTGAAATGCTGATACAGTTTAAACAAGTTACAGTAATAGTGCATTTTATTAAAAATAAAGAAAAAAGAAAAGAGAAAAAGAAAAAGTTTTGTTCCTTACTATAGCAGAGACTTGATTATGACGAAGGTTGAGCTCTGTGAGAGAATCCAGTCCATTAAGATTTTCTACAATGGTTAGTAGGTTTCTGGCAAGGTTTAACACCCTCAGTTCACTCAAATGACTGATGTTTTCTATTTTAGTAATCTGTGAAAGAGGTATAATTATAAACGTGCATATTATGTTTTATACAGATACACAACAGATATATATAGCATATACTTTTTTTAGAAAGTATACATGAACAATCAACTTATTACAATAATGTGCTGCTCGTGTATTTTTCTAAACCATGACAATCATGTCATAAATTGGTGATAACAAGCTACAGTCTGCTAGAGATTAAGTACTAGTCTGCATTTCACTAATATCTGTCTAGTCATACTGCAGTAAAATCAGTCAACACTTACTTCCATACCATCAGAAATTAGGTTATTTCAGATGTGCTGCTCTGTAGCAGCAACCTCAAAAACACTGTAAAACTGAGGTAACACTGCTGATACCATGGTATGCCAAAATGGGGAAGTTTTGTGTATGGTTGATCCTTAATGTGTCTGCAAAGCACTCAAACACACATCCGAATCTCCTGGTACATATCCTACAAGAATATGCGGCATCGTATCTCCCTACCATCGCAGAACTCTGTGCCAATTTCCCTCCGTGCCTCTTAAAAAGCCAGTAGCAGCATTCACGGCTCTATCTACAGGAGCTTCACAGACAGACTTTCCAGCAGGTCATGAGGACAGGAACCTGCTGTGAGTCTGGGGCAAGGAGCAGCCACAGCCCTCTGGAGAAGAAAGCAATTATTCTGGAATGGGAACTTGTAAGGAAGTTTTACAAGCAGGTAATTGCTGGAATCAGTAAGACACACTCAAAAGACACAGACACTGCTGTTTGTATTTCTTAGAGTGATCCACTCAAGGATCTCTATCCAGATATTTATTTCTCATAGGAGTCTGCAATCTGTCCTCCAGCATCTATCCAGAAATTTACGCAGGACTTGCACACAGCAACGTATGTTGAGAAGCTTAAGCATTGCCACTGCACAGGAGGCTATTCCTATCATATTCTTACTGAAACACGTGCTATACAGCAGAAAGAAGGCAGCAGGTTATCCTGCGGAAAAGACTTCAGCCTTCCACAACATGTGGCAGTGCATCCAAGGATACAGTGCACAAAGGTACTAACAAGTATAATGAATTCCCTTTCAATTAGAACGATCATCTGCTGGCCCACTGCAAGCCCCCTTCAACACCTTCTACTCAGGCACGCTATTCCTCCCCAAAGCTCACAACAGCAATGAGATGCAGACAAGCAGGATAGCAACTGGTGTCACACACCTTCCCAGTGGTAATGAACTTTTGGATGCTTTAGACCAATACAAATCTAGCCCTGCCAATTTCCAGAAAGCATCTAGCAACTCCTGGAATGGGAGAAGAGGTAAGGTAGCTGTTATTTAACAGTTCGCAAACACATAACACTGTTGGTAATTTTCACATATATACATGTGTGTCTACACACACACATATATACGTCTATATTTATAAGACTATGAAATATCACTTGAATGTGCTGCTATAAAAAGTATTTCAGCAATTTTCCATTAAAAAGCATGTAAAAGTAGATAGCAAAACCAAAATTAAGGAACACCTTAAACCAACCTTTGTTTCAACTGCTAATGAAACTATTATGCATCTTCCATTTATTTGTATTATATGCAGAAAACAAAAATTATCAGGATACAAAAGTATTACAGCAAAAGGAACAGAAAATACCACCATTTGGAACAATATATTTAGACAGAAAGACTTGTAAAAGCAAAGCCAAGAGCAGATGGTTAGCATGAAGCGCACAGACCTCTGCAGATGTCTGCTTAGCTAGAATTACAGCATGCCACAGTGCAGAATATTAAACCTGGCATTTTACTGCTATCGCAAAGATAATGATTTCATCAGTAATGTATAGAGATACTCCCCAGCACTTTTCTAAGTTTTAAGATTACCGGATTTTCTGTTTCAATTATTCATGCATGCATCAAGATACACCACCTTTTAGTACATACTATTAGGCACGGATTAGATAACAAGCCATCTTTTGGAGGATTCAAATAATATTTCTTTTACTAAAAAGAAATTATATCTATGACTAATTTCTACTAATTATAAATAAAGAAGGATTATTATTAACTATTTTTAGTTCCTTTTTCAAATACATAAGTGAAAGACTTTACTTGTAAACATTGTAGAAAAACACTACTCTATTTTCTTGCTAACTTAGCTATGAAATAGATTTGTTTCAGAAAAGATTGTTATGCACCAGATAATCACTCATCGATAATTAAACTGCACAAAAGTTGCATCTTTTAACACACATTTCTGAGATTATAGAAAAGAAGTCCAGGCCTGAAAAATCAAGTTGCAATTTTTTTTCCCCCTTTTACTTATATCCTTGAACTTTTGGCAGGGAAAATTATTCTCTGAATTAAACAGAACACAAAAAATAACTATAATGACTTTTCAAAATTTAATGTGTTATAGAGTAAATTTGATTCTAAATAAAGTTAGAATGAAATTCAAGTTCAACTTGACTCAATGTTAGTACATCAGTTCACTAAAAGACAAAGTCCATTTCAACCCTATCTAAAATAAAAAGGTTTTCAATAGATTTATATGTAACATATACCATTTATGCTATTTACCTTGATAGCAAAGATCAAGCCAACAATCAGCGTTCTCTCCAGAGAATATTCAGAGTGCTTGGAAGCACACTATTTAGAAATTAAATGTTTAGTTCAAAATTAAATGCAAGTTGTAGTGCATTAAATATACCATGCACATAATCATGTGCAAGGTCTCTGAAATATATAGTATTATTATATGTCCATATTCGTGTGTCAATAACCATAGAAACAGAGTCTCTACATAAAAATTTTAATTAATGTTACAGAGACGCTGTATTTTCTTACAGATTTTTACAGGGCAGTATTAAAATCAAGAACCTTACTAAATCATGTAGGAAAATGGGCAAAAAGTAGTAATATGACAAGGGAATTCACATTTTGTCCTTTTTGTAAAGTCGAGTGCAATAATTCACTAGGCCTTACATTAATTTTTTTAAACTTTCTTTTGGATATTTGTTATATGAAGGGATTTTCTTTAAGTACTAATGCATTTAAAAATCTTGATTTGTAAAAAAAACCAAAAAAAAACCAAAAAAAAACCCAACCAACAAAAAAACCCAAACACAAACACACCACCACCAAAAACCAAAACCAACCAGAAATCATACAAGGTTTATCATTAAGCATTGTGGAATACTATACCCCAATGTTTTAAAGCACATCTAGTTCCCAGTACATTTCTCACTCGGGTGGGAGAAGTCTCAAATTTCAGACCAAATCATGTTATCCAAAAAACCCAGCACTCAAATAAAACAAAATATTTTCCCAAAAGTGAAGAATGAAATTTTCCTCCTTCTGTTTTTCCTCACCTCCAACCTCTTGGAAACATTCCAGTCTTAGAAGTTTCACAATCTGCATTCCATCTATGGGACTGCTTTACACCCCAAGGGAGAGGGAGGGAAGGACAAAGACTAAAACAGCAATCTAGCTTCCCTCATAACTGCTACTACTCCGTGAACATTAATGAAAATAAATAATTTCTAGCTAGGCTATAGCACTATTTTTGAAAAATAAGATTGATAAAATTGATATTCTGGCTATATCCTATTTCAGTCTTTATATTCTGCATCTGTTGAGAGTGACTGCTGAGATTTCTTACCTTATGCAGAAATACTGCATGTAATGAAAGAGTTGTTAGTCTAATGCATTTCAAATACTTTTAATATAACTTGTACACAAGATTTAGTTGTTCAATGATCCTCTGGGATCACAGTTAACATGCAAGAGATGCTGCACATTATTAACAATAGCTTTGAACACCAAAAAATTTAAAATTTTTGCAAGCACCTTAGAATATTCCTGTAGTGAATTAAACTCCTGAAGCAAGAACTATTTGGTCAGATATTATGTAATGGATATTATACATAAGATATTTTAGTATTTTACTGTAAATATGTCCTACAGCGTACATAAACCATAAAGGGAAAAATAGTAGTTGCAAGAATAATACTTTTTCTTGCCAGATATGTGAGCATGTTCAATGTCCTCAGAAAGAGTTGTGGAATATCACATTCACCAAAGAGTCAATCTGGTCAAATGACTTGCCAAAATGCATCAGAACGATTTACAGGATTTACTGGATTTTGCTGTAAACTGCTACATTAAATTTTATGGGGTTTATTTAATGACATTAGAGAAGCCAAACCATGAAAACAAAGACTGTAGAAAAAACTCTGTTCTGTATCATAACTCAGAAGTAGTAATACTACTGTAGCAATTTATATTACATAGTATATTGCAGTAATAATATTATTGTTGCCAGGCAATACCATTTAAATGGTAGCATTTTACTTATATGACTCTTCTCATCTACTGGAGTCTAACAAACATGTCAAACCACCTTCTGGAATTGTCTGTCTGAGCACAGGGGAAAGCTGGTGATATCAGAATCACTGAATGCAAGTTAACTCGTATCTCAAACTGTACGCAAGCAGCAAATATTCAGCTAATCCCCTACCATGATGAAGACTGCTCACCAGATAGTAAAGACCGTTCTGTTAAGGGGAAACTACAAAAAAAAAATATTAAAAATAATTACATGTCCTCATCTTCTATTAACTAAGACATGGCAACTTCAAAAGGCAAAACCGCTGTTAAAACAGAGCTGCTATATATATTAATACAAAGAATAAAAAAAAGCTGTAAAACAGATTACTGTTCTGATACATATATAAATATGAACCACAGAGGATGACTCTATAACATAAACAGATAAATCAACAAGTTTGAAGAAAATTCAACTCTCCCATTTCAACAAATAATTCGCCAAAATACTCCATAAAGCGACCTGTGATCAACCTTTACTCTCAAGCAGTAACAGAATGGATGAATAGAAGCAATCAGTGCAAACTGCACAGAAAGTGCTCTAAAGACCAACAGATTCAATGCATAATTTCATCAAATGTGTGGATTTATAAACATTAAAACCACAGGAACACTCCTATCCTAACCCCAAACACAAAGCGCCATTCAAGGATTACTGTAGTAGGATGTTGATTCAGCGCGCTACAGCTCAAGGAACTGCCACATTCATCCAACAAAGAGGTTTTTCATAGCTTTACAGGGGACATTTTTCCAATAAAGAATTGTCACCGTACTAGCATCCTCAGAATGGCTCTTCTTCTCTACTACTCTTTTCTTCTTCTATTTCTGAAAAGGGAAAATAGGAAAAGAAAAGATAGTGAATTTAATCTAAAGTAACGCTAAGCACAGAATCCAAGCATCAGTTTTGGTCAGAAGGGACCTCTGGAGACCATCCTTTCCAACCCTCCTGCTCAAAGTCGGGTCAACTACAGCAGGCTCCCCAGGACCACGTCCAGTCAGGCCTAGACCACCTCCAGGGATGGAGATTCTACCACCTGTCTGGGCAACCTTCTCCAGCGTTCAGCCACCCTGACAATAACATCTTTCTTAAGTTTGAACAAGTTTCCCTGTACTTCAGGAATTTCAATGTTTCTTCTCTTTTTGCTGGACACCACTGAGATGAGTCTGGCTCCACATTATTTAGGCCCTCCCATCAGCTATTTATGTATGTCGATAAGAACTCCCTTAGGCTTCTCTTCTTCAGGCAAAGCAAATCTCGGCTCTCGGCCTCTCCTCATACGAGGGATGCTCCAGTCCCTTCATCAATCACCTTTGTGCCTCTGCTGCTCATTCCCTTAAGTTCATGTCTGTTTTGCACTGGTGAACCCAAAGAATCACCTGCCACAACCCGCTGGCAACACCCTTCCCCCTTCCTAATGCAGCCCAGGATGCTGTTGGCCTTCTTTGCCATACAGGCACACTGCTGGCACACGGCCAGACTGTTGTCCACCAGAGCCCCCACATCCTTTACTACAAAGCTGATTTTCAGATGGTAAGCACCCAGTCCGTACTGCTGCGGGGTGTTATTCCTCCCTAAGTGCAGGACACTGCATTTCCCTTTCTTGAATTTCATAAGACTCCTCTCAGCCCGTTTCTCCAGCCTGTCAAGATCCCATTGAATGGCAGCACAACCACCTTACGTATCAAGCTCTCCTTCCAATTTCCTGCATTGTTAACATCATCAATGAAGGTATTGAAAAGTATGGACCTAGTATCAACCTCTAGGGAACAACAACAGTGACTGGCCTCTAGCTAGGCTGTGTGTCACTGATCACAACCCTTTGAGCCTGACAGTCCAGCCAGTTTAGATTTCACCTCACTGTCCATCTATCTAGTCCAAATTTAATTTAAATTTGTCTATAAAGATGTAAGGGAGACAGTGTCAAATACCTTCCTAAATTCAAGATAAAAAATATCCATTGCACTCTACTCATCCACTGCGCTTGTCATGTTGCTGTAAAACACCATTTCCTGCATAAATTCACGGTGACTACTCCTGGTTGCTTTCTTGCTGTAATATGTTTGGAAATGGGTTCCAGCACTACTTGTTCCATGACTCTCCCAGGGATTGAGGTGAGACTGTCACGTTCCATAACATCTGACATATGCTCATTTATATGTCATCCCTGTTTTAATCCAATTACAGTCTATGCAACAACTTGCTCACTGACAGCATTCAGGCAAAGCTTACACACAAGTTTTAGTTTATCAGTAGCTTTCTTGAAAGAATCTACTATTTCTTCCTGGGTAGATGCCCCTTGTGGTATCAAAACCCCTCTACTAAGCCTCTTCCTGGTATCAAAACCCCTTCCACTAACTTAACTACAATGACAGGTTTTGTAATAAAGATACAAATGTTTTCTTCAAAAAGGCAAAAACATCCTTTTTAAATTAATACAATCAGAAAATAAATGCAAAACCAAGCGTGCAAATCTCAGTAGTACCTTTAACAGTATGAACTTTGTATTGTGGCCCAAGAATATCACATTAAGAAAATCCTGAAGATATTCCTGGCAACAAGATATAGATGATACCACAATGACAGCCGTCTTTTCTAGAAAACAGTCTTAAAGTTTTGTGCTTGGCCTGCCTCAGTGCCAGTCCAGTCTAAACCACAGCAGTGCTGGATCAAGATTATCTGTTTCCCACATACACAGCATTAAATAATTTCTCACATCTGTAAGAAACACAACTTTGAATGCAAAATGAAAACAAAAGTACCGTAAAAATATCTGTAAGCATAAGAAATAGAGTATGACTGAAAAGACGGTAACATTAAGTAACCTATACAGTCTGTTTCACAGTTACTAGAAGTGAGCAATGGAAAATGATGCCCAGAGGAAATCTCATATTCACATAGCACATACAGATATTCATACTATACTGGCAGTCAATGACCCTTTTGTACACTTAAAATGAATTACATTTTTCCATAACTATAAGAAAATAAGATATAAGTTATGGACACCACAAAAGTGCCTTTACAACTTCTACTTGAAATAAGAACCATCCTGATAAAGGAAAATTGCCGCCCATCACTGGTTCCAAATTGTAAAACTGACTACATTTGTTGTAAATTTTGACTCTCCTGTGAGAACTAGGTGCAAGATAACGCCACAAGCAACCTAAGAAAACAGATTCATTTTTTTTCCATTATGACTGACAATCAGGATATTCTGTTTCTGCATTCTTGATTCTAATTGATCTGTACCAAATTAAAGAAAAAAAAATAATGTATATGTTAGAGACAGGACACTATATCAACAGAAGAATGATCAGAATCCACAATTTTGAACTATATACTAACAATTCATTTTTAATTCTACTGATCTATTGTTTAAGTTGCTCTGTTCTGCAATATTAGAACATAAATTTTGAAACTGAAGTCTGTTCTTGAGAAATTCACCATGTGGAAGAAATACTGCTTAAGATAGACTAGAAGGCTGCCATAAATAATGATCCCACAACACAGAGCCCCCTTTTTCATTATTAAATAAGCAAACAACAACAAAACTCCTCTTCCTGAGACTTCAAAACAAGACACTGGTACAGTTTAAGCTGATAGGTCTCAAACTCTGTATTTCTTCCCTTCTTCATTTCTTCCCTTATGCCTTCAAAAAATAACTAATAACATGTATGGCAGATTGGTGTTTTAAATTTTTAATTCCTCAAAGACAGGAAAAAAAGAATGTTAACAAGAAAACCTGCATATCTTTAAAATGGAAAGGAGCAGAAAGATAATTTATTAATCTAAGAGAAGTTCATAGCCTTTACTTGGTCTTCCCATGAAAAATACACTCAACCTATAAAAAAAAAAAATGCAGAAAATTAATTTAATTTCCTAGCATTCGTGCCCTTCACATGCACATTTATGATTAAAACTTTCTGAAAAACAAAAGCACTTATTATGCTCCAGAGATTTACTATTTAACTCCTGATGCAAGACAATTTGTTACATTCTCTGGACCAAAGCAGGCCTATTATAATGAAGCTGATCTAGCAGCAGCCAATTGGGCACTATGCCCAAAACTCCTAATAAAGTTCTAGTTTGTGTAAACAGAGTCGTACAGACATTGCAAGGGGGGGGACCAACCAAAAATCTTATCTACTTCACAATCATTTGCAAGAGTTGTGCATGACCTATATTTCATTTGATTCCTCCACTTGTGCTACATAAGTGTGCTGACTGGCATAGCTGCATATCTACTCTACAAGAATTTTTATAAAAAAATATAAGAACACCCTCAAACTTAGAACAGCAATAAAAAAAGGATTAGAACTACACAAACACTTACCCATCTCCAAACACAGACACTCTAAGGCTCCGAGGGCAATGTCACTACCTATTCCTATACTGCCTCGGTACAACCATGCATGCTATTGGACTAATGTTATTCAAAGAAGCCACAAACTTATCGCATCACATAAAACAACAACTCATTATAGTGCTAGCTTGTCCTTTTCTTTTCATCTTTTTCTAAAAAAAAAAAGAAAAAAGCATTCCCATTCCCCACTGTTAAGCAATTGTGTAATAAAGAACACATGCACACACACAGAGAAATTGGTAAGACGTCAAAACTGACAGAACAGGAATCCAGAAAATTCACACATTGGTCTTACACAGTCACAATAACCATATGATGTTTTAAACAGCTCAATTATGGAATATTATGTATCATATGAGTTTACAGCTCCATTATAGAACATTTTGCATCACATGTGTTTTAAATTTTACAAAAGACTACTAGACCCAGCTTGCCCTTAATACTCCATGCTGTTTATGACATACCCATGAAATAAAATCTTCCTCTTATATGTACTACAGCTAAAACTTTATGCACCACTTGAAATAGAAATGCCTGTTTAGTCTCAAATTGGGGAAATGGAATAGACATTAAGCGACTTAAATTCATTCAGAAGCATGAATCAATTGAAAGCGTGGATCCATTCTACTTTTTCCTGTACAAATTTAAGTCGTCTTCAGATATGTAAGGGATCTTGTTTTTAAGATCGCCAATAGTAGAAAAAAGACAACAATCAATGGAACTTTAAATTCTTCCACGACTTCTAAGACTGTGTTACTTTAACACGGCCACAACTACTTATGCTAGATTACTATTCTGTAGGTGTGAGTGCTATTTTACTCAGTTGACTCAGCATTTTAATCACTGTAACTTTCCAGAAGTACAATGCTGAAAATACAAGACACTTGATACTGAGATTCAATATAACACCATACCACCTTTTATTAATTTACTGATTTCTGTGACCTCAAAAGTTGTAAAATTTGCTACCAGCTCCCTTTCAAAAAGCAAGTTTGGTAAATGACACAGGAAATGCATGATGTCTACACAAGAAATGTAAATGATCAAATTATTGTACTGTACCTGATTTCCATGAAGATCTAAAACATCAAGATTTTTTAGGTTCTCCAGATTTGAGATCTTCTTTATTCTGAAGGATTTAAATTATGATCTAAATTATTTTTCACGTTAGATAAAAAGTATCTTTCATTTTCCAGCTAGTACAAAACTTCGCCATTTGTTCCTGCCTACCAAGAGTAACAGAAGAATAATGAAGTTCTGAACCATAAAAAAAAATAAAAGCGATAAAGAAGTGAATAAATATGCCTTAGACTATCACCTTCCTTTCTGACTGTCAATAATGCAATAGTGGCAGTATGCACATGGCTCTTCTAGGAAGATGAAAAGGGAAGGAATACTCGCACCACTAGAAAACAAACTCAACAACCAACCTATGCAGACACCTAAATGATAAAAAAAACCCCAACATTATTACTGGCAAACAGCTAGCTCCAAACAAGTTTAAAGAAAGACTGTAGTGACACAGACTTTTGAGTTTGTTAGAAGCACACAGAATAAATAAAAAAAAAACAAAACAAAAAACTGAAAGCCACCAAGTCCTTTTTAGACAATATAGATCTCTAGATTTGGCAATATTTCTTCTCCCCCTGTACAACTTCACTGCCCTAGAACTTTTCTGTCCATTTTTCTCAGATTCCAAACATAGGTTATTCTATACTCAACAGCATCATCTACTGGCTGATAATATTAAACACCATGTGTATTTTGCATTTGCTTTGAGAATAACCAAAGATCACATATAGATCAAGCTGAAAACAAGTTGTCTGCAATTGTGCCTGACTTGTAATCATTTATGTCTTGTCCTAACTACCTCCAAACCATACTTCTACATAAACAAACTATATAGCACTCAATGTAATGACAATTTGGAAAATAATTCCTTAAAGCACCTTCAAATTATCACTCCCATGCCCCAAGTTTTGATATAAATAGAATTAATTTCTACAGGTAAAATTTTTAATATAAAAGCTATAAACTCTAGTAACATACTGCACTATTTAAAGTTGTCGGTTTTGAACAGAGGCTGAATTAGGAGCTACCTTCTTTATAATCTGCACATAACTGAAGTTTGTTTACCAGTTCCTCCTCTACTGAATATAAATAAAATAAGGAAACTGAACAAAACCAGACCACAACCCTTATGTGTGTGAGCAATTCCACAGATACTTCTATTAAATTATTAGAATTAAAGGCTACTGGATTTGAACTGTCTTTTTAGAAAGTACTACAACTAGCAAGTTTTACCTCCCAACAGAACATAATCTATAAATAAGCAATAAAATCCACAATTCATCTGCCTGATTTTTTCCCAGCTAAATACATCAGACAGAAATACTTTTCAAACTTTATAAAGAATCAATGAACACTTTACGTGATGTGAAGAGATTCCACCTGTCACACAAACCCAAGAACACATATTTAATAGCCAGTCAGACAGAAGATTAGATGCAAACACATAAAATACTTCAGAACTGTTGCTAAAATTTACATAAGAAAGGAAGTTTCTGAAGAACATTACTAGCAAAAACTGTGTACTTCCTCAGTGGGATCCTTAACACTTAGCTAGTGTTAGTGACCAGCTCACTGGTCTCACAGCTAACATCACTATCTGAAAACTCTGTAAATAACAGAAACAGTGATAGATCACAGTTGTTACACCATAAAGAAGCAAGGCGCTTTAAATTAATTTTATTATTTTCACCTGTTCTTTCCCAACAAAAGCACTCTTAGGGATCTAAGAGTTGAAAGCCCACTTATTTCTTCTATCTGATTATCATATAAATCTAAGAAAACAAGATGTTGCAGATTAGAAATATTTTGGATCCGGGTTATAAAGTTATGTTGGAAATTCAAAAGGCGAAGATGATCTTCCCCATCGATAACTGGGCACACTGTCAGTTTTTGCCTGGAAGGAAAAGAAACAAAACAAAAAACAAATGTAAGTAACAAATTGGTTACTCACCCACTCTAATTGAACTGAGGAAACAATATTGTCTTGATTATGGTAATATTAAGGTAATTAGGTTTGCTAATTAAAACTCTGTAAATAAGGGAGAAACTCCTTACTATAAAAAAAAAAATAGTTAGCATAAAAATATAGCACAACTGCTTCTAAAATTCTCTGAAAGCCTGTCCTCTCAATCAGAGCTTTGCTGGTTACATGGAAACTACATGGAAGTTCCATGTTGTGACGACATTTAAATTTAAACAGACGCCACCTGACAATTTTTTATTTTTTTTCCATTAGATACCACATAAGCAGCCTGTTTAGATCAGAATTTGAAGTGTTCTATGTCTATGAAATTTTTCTTTGGTTTATAGAACTTTACATTTGAAAGATAAATACATGAAATACGTGCTACAGTAAAAGATATAGGACATGAAAGTGGTTATTCTTACTTTAGGATTATTCTAGAAGGAGTCCTACTGACCTGACAAAACTTTTTGGACTACATGAACCTTACCCCCACCAAAAAAAAAAAACAAAAACCAATTAAATATCTATCAGATAGTGCACTTTTTTGCATCCTGGTTAAAGGGGGGGGGAGGGGGTGGATAAAAAAGGCCATTCTACAACCAATGCGTCAGATTAGAACTAATGGAGATATAGCCTCTTTCTATAGATTACTTGGATGACCTTGCATTTGACTCTTATGCTAGCTCTTTAGTTTACAATGAAAAGCCCCAACTGCCTAGATGACTGCTGTATGGATATATTCATCACAAGATCACTCATACAGAATTTCTCTGTGGGAACGGTTCTCCTCTCAAAAACCCACACACATAAAAACCATCAAAACCAAACCTACCACTCACACCGTAGACCAGAGGCATTAGCAGGATACTCATCACTTTAGACCATCAGACAAGCTATAGTGTGCGTGCTCTATAACCCTTCTCACCTTTCCAGGGTAAGTCTATCAGAGTTCAGGATTTTTTCCTCAGCAGTACGTTGCAATACAGGAAATGTTATTGATGAGCTGCTCCCAAAGTTTGTGCTATCTGTCAGAAAATCATACAGAGAATATATGAGCTACTACTTTGTAAAATCATTTCATTAACCTCAGATAATAAAAGATTTTTTTCTTATGAAAAGTTGTTACATGTACATGAAAGTGCATTTTGCCTCCATTCAGTACTTTGAGTTATCAGTTTTCTTTCCTGCCATTTTTTGTTTACAACTGCATCTCTCTTCATGCTCTTTCCAAAGTACATCCATTTGTTTCCTTTCTGAAAGATTTTTAACAACAATTTCTTGTATACAGATATTTTGTAGATGCTTTTGTTTTGATTAGAATTACCCAATGATGTTTTAAGGTAAGGTTGTAGAATTGTTTAACAATTTCAGTATCTGAACTTAAAGACATACTCTAACTTAAGACAAATTTAAAGACACAGATCAAGTAGATGTTGATAGAACTAGAGACTAAAGCACCAAAACATTGAAACAGTCCTACTGTTTCACAAACAAATGCAAAGTCACTTAAAAGTAAATGCATGCAATACCTAGTCAGTGGTATTATATTTCACTCCATTATCAAGAAAGAAACAGGCAGCCATCTAACACATATTTATAAAGCTATCCATCTTTACCCATTTTGTTAATATAACGGGGGAGGGGGAGGATGACTAACAATACAATCAAGAAATGTTTTCTGTGAACTTTGGCTTATTTGGAAAACGATCCACTGAAAAATATTCATTAAAAATAGATCATAGAATTACAGAATCATTTAGATTGGAAAAGCCCTTTAAGATCATCGAGTCTAACCACAAACATCATTGTGCACACATACTACCACAAAAATATAGGCTCAACTTCTACATGTTTGCCCCCCCTTTTTTTTTTCTTCAAATAAATCAAATATGTTAACACTAAATCTTCAATAAACAAAGATTAATTGCTTTACCACAGTGAGTTCACTGTTGTCTAGAATATGCCATTAGAAGACATACCTATACAAGTAAAAGAATTTGTTGTGCAATTTAGAATCTTTTCAGTGCTACTCTCTAACATTTTATCACTAGCTACTCTAACAAACCAGCCTAACAACCAACATTCTCTATGTATCCTTCAAAGTGGAAAAAAAAAAATCATCCAGTCCAAAAATAATCAATTAACATTGTTGCAAATATCTTAAATTACTTGTGTCTCAGATTTTTAGGCCAATAAACAGAGGACCAGGAACCTAAAAATCAGTCTGAAACAGACATGATGGCAGTACAGTGACTTTTTTCTCCTAATGTCATCCTCCTAAAGACATGTGTGAAAGATCCCACTGGCACAGGCTGCCCAGAGAGGTTGTGGAGTCTCCCACTCTGGAGACATTCAAAACCCACCCGGACGCTGTCCTGTGCAACCTGTTGTAGGTGACCCTGCTATGGCAGGGGGTTGGACTAGATGATCTCCAGAGGTCCCTTCCAACCCCGAACATTCTGTGATTTGTTAAAGAAAGGTATATAAAAAGCCTATATTTAAATGCCTATATTATATTTTGGAAAATATTTCTAGTGGTTTCTTGACAACGATCCATTAACCTCTCTTAATACCTGAAGGGAACAGCAGCAAAACTTGCTATTCAGTCATACATTCTGACAGCCAGAAGCAGCACATCTTACAGTTCATAACTTTCCAATACGACACCCAGTTAAAAAAACAAAACAAAACAAACCCCAAGAGACTAACAAGAGAAGTTTTCAACTGTTACCTGAAGCATGTGAACTAACACTGTGGCTACTTTGTCGAGATCTGAATTTTGTAGGTGTGTGAATAGAAGACTCACCAAATCCTGATAAAGAACCTGTATTCTGCTTCAACTCCAAACCAGAAAGTTCTGTCAGACTGGATGGTACTGGAAGATATATCTGCTTATTACGCACCAAAGGACTTAATACTCTTTGGTCTCCTGCATGGGGAACAAAACCAAACTGCAGATTTAAATTTACTCCATAAGAAGTTGCATAAGATCCCTAAAAATTGACCCATTCCGAACAGCTGTTGGTCTTTATTTTTTACCAGAATGAATTAAAAATTGCGATCACTGTTTCTTCACCACAGTTAGCAGTAATATCACCAAATATCTTGCTTTTCAAAGACAAAAGCACACAAGCACAATAGGAGAACTAGCTCTTCATATCAGGGTTCCAAATTAGAAACAAATTTTGTCTAAATAGATTAAAATGTTAAGCATCCAATAAAGTGTTACAGTAGAGAATTGTGTGACCTTTGAGGGAATGCAGGGCATTTGATAGATTGTGGCTTTGTAGGCAAAAGAAAGGATGCTCTTCCACGGACAGAACAAAGGGCAAAAAGCAATGAAAAAAAGACATCTGTACCAGGCAGTAGAAAGATAGCAGGTTCAGAACATGATGCAGCCATAATTATACTGAATTACAGTACCCAATTAGGAAAAGCTGTCACTCTTACATATTCTAATCATAATACAGTCTTTCTTTACTGTTCAGTTAATAAGAAGAGATACAAAAGACAAACAAACCAAACCCAGTTGAATATCACCTTGCCTTCCTGAATAGTTTTTTTCCAGATCATGCTGCAGAAGCCTATTGTGGAAAGAAGACTGTTCTTTATTTATCCGGAATTCAAACTGTAACACAATAATTAAAATAAATGTTAAGGTCTTCAAATGCACAGACAAACACAACCTTAGTAACAACTACAGGTCTTGGGAAACTCTGCAAATGTTTTAAAAAAATTAAATAATTGCTCCAACAAAAAGTATTCATTCAATTAAGATACTACGACTGAAAAGTTTCAGTGTTGGAAACCAAAATTAAAATATGGAAGTTAGCAGCACATTCATCTGCAGTTGACTAAATAAAGAAAAAAACCCCACCCTCTAGGGAGTTCTACAATTACAGGAGGAAGAGAGGTACAGATGGAAGCATAAGAAATATATATGTATATTAAGTGTATGCCAGGCTACAGCACATCCCTGTGTTTTTACTTTATGTATCTTTAATATGATGAAATAAATTACTGAAATACTGTCAGATACATCAAATATTATATTAAAAGGCAACACACTACTACTGAAAAGGCAATTCATATCTGAAAGCATACAAATTTGACCGTACCGTAAAACTTCATTAATGAACATAATTATTAAAGAAAAGGTAATAATTACTGGTTTGCTCTTATCTGTTATCGATGAGGTCTGGATAAGCAGCTGAAGACCACAGTTATTGACCTGCAAATTGGAAGAAAAAGAAATGGAATCTTAAATTATTTCAAAAACACATATCAATGCAAAACGTTGAATGCAACTTTTTTTTTTAAAAACAACAAAGGTATTTTCAACAGCAAAATCCGACAAGAAAGAAACTACGTTCCAAAACTACTGTGAAGAATATGTCACAGCACTAAGCAATGCTGAATAATTTTTAGCTTTAAAAAAAGCTAAAGGCGGTTTTAGCTTTAAAAATAGACTGAAAGTGTGACTTCCACGGCGATGTACTCCTCACTGTGAAGAAAACAAGCGTTTACATTTAAATATGATACATTTTTTTTTAAGGCAGAACGTGTGGGTCATTTAACTGGATTTACATGACAAAACGTATCACCTACCTGCTAAATAATCAAAACGTTTGACAGAAACATTTAACCCGAGGGCTCACATAGCCACTTCCCAGCAATCAACGGGAGGGAGACAGACGCCGGGAGGGACTCCCCTCAGCCCGGTCACGGCGCGAAGCCC